AGGGACGGCCTCCCACGCGGTTGCGATCCACTGTAGCACCACCTCCGCGGGGGGCTTCTTGAGGTTTCCTGGCGGGGGCGCAGAGAAAAGGCGGTAGAAAAGGCAGTCTTTAAGAGTCGATGAAGCGTCCGAATAGTCATGAAGTGTACGACGGAGCACACGTAATGAAAACAGCATGGAATGCAGGCACAGAGCGGCAAGGACCTCACCTGCGGGTGTTGTCGAATCGCAGCCACACTCTTCAAACCAACCTGTGTAGGACTGCCTCACATGCGCCTTCACACAGCGGTTGATAGCCACGTCGAGTGGCTGGACTATCAGCGTGCAGCCGCCAGGAATCACGGCCTTGGAGAGCTTGAAGAGGCGCATCGCAGCTGACACGCCCTCGGTCAGGTGCCCTTTGTAGTTGTCGAGGACGACGAGGGCTTTCCCCCGACCGCCACGCCTCGCAGGGATTTGCTCAAGGAACGGGACGAGCACTGCTGTGATCCAGTCCTTCACGTGCTCCTCGTCCATCCATCCTTTCGGCTGCGCACGGATGACGATGCCTGGACACAAGCCAAGACAGAAGCATATCAGGCGAGGTCAATAAAAAGAGAAAAACAACTGGGATGGGACAGGGATTACGATAAACAGAATGAATCAAAGAACAATATTTGAACTCACCAGGGGGGACTCGGATATTGGGCACCGTCTTCCGCTTGAATATGACATACGGCTTCAGCTTCTGTCCAGCAGCAGTGACCGCCAGCATGATGGTCAGCCGTTCTTTCTCGTAGCCGGCGGTGCGCACGTGCACCGTCCTTGAGCCGCGGACCTCTAGCATTGTCTCCTGCGGCATCTCCAGAAACAGAGGTGTTTGGTCGGCGCTGATTATCAACTCGTCGGGGTAGTAGTACAATTTCTGCATCTGACGCACAAACTCCCAAAACGTCTCCACTTTTGCCTCGCAATCTGCAAGCACAAGAAAACCAAGCACAATAAGCAGGCAGACAAGGAACACCATGCAAGAGTACAAGTCGAATTTGCGAGGAAAGACGACGTGGAAACACTCAGAGCAATTGAAACTAACCGGTTGTGAGGTCTTGGTCTTCACACGCCTCGTCAAACCCCAGCGAGTGCGGAAGCGGAAGGTCCATCGCGACAATGCTCGCCAGTCGACTCCAGGGTGCCGCTTCTTCATGTACTTCCAACTCCACTTCTGCAAGCAGTTGATGGAGACTGCCAGGCCACGCGCGCGATGGGAGAGGAAGCGCTTGTACAGCTCGCGCTCCATGTCGGGGAACTTAGCCTTGTGCCCTGAGCCGACGAGACGACGCCTGCAGCCAGCAGCCGCCGCCGCCAGTTTCGCCTTGTTTTTCTTCCACTCGCGAATCTGACAGGGCTGGACCTCCGCCATCCTTGCGAGCTTGCGGTTGGATAGCTTAGGGTCATCGTCAAGCTTGCCCAACCAGAAGAGCTTCTCGGCCGCCTTGCGTGAGACTCTTTTGCACCTCGTTCTGCAGTTTCTTGGGGAGGGAGGTGCGGCATCACGGTTAACGCGAGGCATGTTGGGACGACGCCTCGGCTGAGGGAAAGATGGAATAGCAACTCGAGGAAGTGTCGGTGGAGGCTCACGCTCTCCGTTAGCAGCCTCATACCAGTACAACTCGTCCCCATCGTCTTGCCATGAATTGTCCCATTCAGGCGGACGACTGGGAATCGGCAACGAGGGAGAGGGAGGCGCGGGAGGCGCCGGAGGTGCAGGAGGTGCAGGTGGCGCAGGTGGAGCGGGAGGAGTAGGTGGTGCAGGTGGTGCAGGTGGTGCCAGGGGAGTTGAGAAGAACGGACGGAGTAGGAACTGATTGCCGGAGGGAGGACGATGGGTGCGCAATACACAGAGGCTGGAAAACGTACGCGCTGCAATGGCAGCACCTGAAAGGGAGATTGCTAGCCGAGGGACTAGTGCCCGAGGCTCTGTTAAAGAGCCCGGGCATCGTGACGGGTTTTGAGTCGAGAAACGAAAACAGAACTGAAAAGAACGCTGCGGCAAGATAGGGATGAACAAGAAACATGGTTGGAACCTCAGCCCAGAGCGCGCACGGTCTTTCGCAACCCGGAAACACCATCGCATGCCAGGTTTGATATGCCAAGTTGGAAGGGCATATTCCCTCACGTCTGCTGCGTTGGCAGCATCCACCGCACCTAGCCGTTCTTACCCCGCGCTGGCAGCCCGTGGCTGCATTTTTACCGCTGGCAGGCACGGCCGCCTGGGATTGGCCACACCTGGTCGTGCTGATATCAAATTCGACACGTATGCAACTGCATTCATATCGCCAACATCGTGTGAACAAGAACCGATATCAATATAAGCCTTAAAACACTCGAATTCAAATTGCATTTTACATAACACATGGGCACTATATTTTTCCGGGCCACTGTTAAGACCCAGTCATTTTTTTAGTGAATTTTAATATCCACCATAGGGTGTTATATACGGGGGATTACGGTACTAGAATAATTAGAAACAAGAGACAACAAGCAAGATATAGGGTTGGGTTGAACTCTCTAAAAACACACACCTATCATAATCACCCGGATAGACGCCCCTAGGGGCGTTTACGAGACAGATTTGAAAACGTGGGGGTGCGTTTAATAGAATAATAAATATATGCCCATGGGCATTTTAAAGGGATTAATATTAATAATAAATATATATGGAAATTATTCATTTGCAATGGGATAATTTTTAGCGAGGCTTCATGAGTCACTCGCGCTGGAACTCCAGTCGGCAAGTTGCCAGGCTGGAAACTCGCCGTTCTAACACGAATCGTGCTGGCGCGAAGTGTCAGAGCGGTAAGTTCCGCTTCTGGCCAGCACGAAGTGAGAAACCTCGGTATTACCTGGATCCGCTTTGACTCTTTGTGCACTGTTTCAAGAGAAATTACGGGGGGGGCTTATAGGAGACAGGTTTAGAGAAATGAAGGGGGGCCAATAATCGAATAATGCTTATTAGTCCCAATGCACGAGTTAGAGCCCATGGGACTAGTCCTACGGAGGGGCGTCTATCCGGGTGATTACGGTACTCTAGCCTATAGGTTGACACACCCCCTAGGCTATATAAGGGGTAGTGCTGAGCAAGAAGCAAACAGCTCAGGGGGGCACAACTAGTCCAACCTCTGAGACAGGGGTCCGAAGACCAGTTAGCAAGAGTACAAACAAGACAGGAGCAAACCAAGGCGGCACTACTAGTCCGGCCACTGGAAGAGGAGCCACAAGGCCAGTCTGAAAGATATATATAAAGAGGAGTACACAATCAAGGTCCTAGCAAGTGAGAGTATTAAGGAACTGTTGGTGCAACCCTATGGCTTGCACTTGGCTTGTCGTCCTTGTTTGTGTGTGTGCATGCATGGCATGGAATGACTTGTAAGTCTATGTAATTGCTATCAAGTGCTTGTATGTGTGTTTGAATGGTGTATCACAATGTGGTTTGTGTCGGTCAAGACATTAGCGAGTTTTCACAAATCGCATGTCAAGTCGTCGTTTGCGTGTCGCATGGGCTTTTTCTATTTTGTCGATTGTTGTTGTGTCCATCGTGTCGCAGGTGTGTGCAGCAAGCCTCCAACAAATCAAGAAGAATTTATCTTGCTGAACCAAGACCAAGAACTCAAGATTTCAAGCCGAAGGGACACGAATAAATATTAAATGGTGAAAAAAGTAACGCTACTTCGTGAAGTGTTACACTTCACTTGGTGTAGCCCCTTGGAGGGTTTGTTTCGAGACTCTTCTGTAAGAAATAGAGTTGAAATGATTGATTAGGTAAGGAGCCCAAGGCTCTATAAGTACATGGCAAGGTGAGAGTGAATGGATGAAGGGGGAATTGGAGGGAATCCCCATTGGGATCTCCTGAATCTCCAATTGGGTAATTGGAGATTGGGGGGATCACAATTGGGTGAGGTTGGGATTTTGTGAGTAAACTCCAATCCACCAGAACATTCATAACCTAAACTAGGATATAAAAGTACAAATACAAAAGTGGTATTTGCAGTCTATTTCTAACACACCCCCATAGACTGCAAACCCGGTCAAGGAGCACATAGCCCCATGGAACGGAGAAGACGATGGTGGTCAGCCTTGCCGAGAGCCTTGGTAAAGAGGTCGGCGAGGTTGCAATCTGAGGCGATGTATCGTACCGTCAGCTGGTCACTCTGAACAAGATCTCGGATGAAGAAATGACGAAGTTCGATGTGCTTGGTGCGAGAGTTGAACACAGGATCCTTGGTGAGGTGAATGGCACTCTGGTTGTCACACCACAGGGTGGGCGACTGCTGGGGATAGCCTAACTCAGCAAGGAGAAAGGAGAGCCAGCGTGCCTCTTGAGCAGCCATTGTGCCCGCGTAGAGCTCGGCCTCGCAGGACGACAGGGAGACTGCAGAGGACCGAGTGGAGCGCCAGCTGATGACTCCGCTACCAAGGGTGAAGCAGTACCCTTGGGAGGAGCGTCTGTTAGTCTGGTCATCGGCCCATGAGGAGTCTGTGTATCCCTCGAGCTTGACTGGAGAGGTACCACCAAGAGTGAGGATGTGAGACTTGGTGGCTTGTAGATAGCGGAGGACCCTCTTGGCTGCAGACCAATGCGAGGCAGTGTAGCGTCCGGGGGAGATGTGATGGAAATCGTGCAAATCTGGAGAGAACTAATTAGAGATTAAGTCTGACGACCTCAACGAATCATTGCTAGAGCAAACTACACCACAGAATACTACACATTTATCACTCCCCCTTGCTCGTGCTGGGTGTGGCTCAACACCATAGGGCAAAAGACTTCACACCACTCCCCCTTGCTCATGGGTTGGGGCCACCCAGAGCATGGAGTCCGCCAAGAAGAGGAGCACCAAGACGCCGGCATCTGCTGCGGGAACCCTGTCATCATGGGGCTGCATCCCGAGCAAGGTCATGCACACACCATGGCGCTCAAAGGGAAGAGACTTGGTAAGAATATCAGCAGCCTGACGGTTGGTAGGGCACCACTGCAAAATCACCTCACCCGCAGCTACCATCTCCCGAATGAAATGCCACCGGACCTGCATGTGTTTGGTGCGGCCATGCAAGCATGCATTCTGTGCAAGGGCAATGGCAGACTGATTATCCACAAACACAGGCACACCACCAGCATGATCATGACCAAACTCCCCAAACAAACGCCTCAGCCAGACACCCTCCTGAATGCACTGACACAGACTTATATACTCACTCTCAGTGGTAGAGAGTGCTACCACGGGCTGCCTCTTGCTCTGCCAAGAGATAGCTGCCCCATTCAGACAGAACACATACCCACTGTGGCTCCTGCGACTTGCGGAATCTCCAGCATAGTCAGCATCACTGAAGCCAACTAGCTGGACCTGAGACTGGGGCTGTGTTTGGAAGAAGATACCTGACTTGACACCACCTTTCAGGTACCTCAGCACTCTCTTAGCGGCCTGCAAGTGAAACATTTTAGGACAAGAGGCGACCTTAGATAGCTGTGAGACTGCAAAGGCAATCTGTGGCTGTGTGGTAGTACAAGCATACATGAGGGATCCCACAATGCTTTGGTAGAGCTTGACCAGCTCATCTCGCAGCAAGGGTTCATCCTCATAGGCATGCACATCAAAGCCTGTTGGGAGAGGAGTACGCACGGGGTTGGCCTCTGAGAGACCAAAGGACTGAAGCATGTTAAGAATGTACCTCTCTTGATGAATCAAGATACCACTCTCATCACGTTCAATTTGCATTCCCAAGTAGTACTTCACCTCCCCCAAGTCCTTCATGCGAAAACGCGAGGACAAGAACTCTTTCACTCGATCTAGCAAAGCCTTGCTAGAGCATAGGAGCAAAAGGTCATCCACATAGAGGAATAAGGAGATCCGCTCCTCATCTCTCACAAAGTGGTACAAGGCAGGGTCACACTCAGATCTCTCAAACCCAAAATCCATGAGAGCCTCATCAAATTTTAGGTACCACTGTCGTGGGGCTTGCTTTAGCCCATAAATGGACTTTTTGAGGCGACACACTCGGTGAGACCCATCATCAAAACCAGGGGGCTGCCGCATGTAAAGCTCTTCCTCCAAATCCCCATGGAGGAAGGCTGTCTTGACATCCATATGATGGATATCAAGCCCCAAAGCAGCTGAAATTCCAAGCATACCTCTCAAGGTCGCATGCTTCCCAACTGGAGAGTACACTTCTTCATAGTGTACTCCCAATTTCTGCGTGTTTCCCATCACCACCAATCTGGACTTAGGCCTCTCAACAGTACCATCAGGGTTATGCTTGTATTTCCAAACCCATTGACACCTGAGGACCTCCAAACCAGGTGGTACCACTGCTGGATCAACCAGCTCAAATGATCCATTTACCTTGTGAGACTCAAGCTCCTCATGCATGGACTCAACCCATTCTGGACGGTTCAGCGCCTCGTGGACTGACCTAGGCTCATGCACCTGACCCATTAGACACACATCAAGAGCATACTCATGCCCATGCATGTCCACAAGCATGCAATCATCCAAATCAGACACAAGATGATTATGCATGCGTGCAATGTGCCCCGGGGTAAACCTTTCAGGTGGCTGGGAAATTCGAGCACTGCGTCGCAGAGGTGTTGCCTCTCCTTCTTCCAGCCTCCGCAGCTTCTCCTCCCAAGTCACCCTCTTCATTGGAGTCCTCGGAGTCTTGGACAGCTGCTGGTCCAACAACTGCTGCCAACTGCTTCTCGATGGAGTTGAAGGCACATGCTGCCCCGGCTGATCATCACGCGCATCGGCTTGCGTGGCTGGCTGAGGGGTAGAATCTGTCTCTCGGGACTCCTCATGGTTAGGATCAGCTGGTTCTGGCTCCTCCTGCTGCTCCTCCCCTTCATCTCCAGGGTCCTCCCATGCCCCCTCAAAGATAGAAGCCGTATGAGGGTCTTGAATGGAAGTCCCACTTTGGCTTGTACCATGCTCCTTCCACCCCTTAAAATTCAGCCCCTCATGGAAAACCACATCACGGCTCTCCATCACACGCTGGTCAGCTACACTCCACAGCACCCAAGCCTTGCTCCTCTCAGAAACCCCAAGGAAGATCCCCCACTGTGCCTTAGGATCTAGCTTCCTTCTTTGCTGGTCAGGTACCTTATACTGTGCCATGCACCCCCACACTCGTGCCATGGAAACATTCGGCACCTTCCCTGTCCAGAAGGAGTATGGGCTCTTGCCTCCAAGCCCCTTGCTGCCCATCCTGTTCTTCACCCAGTTGGCATACTGCACTGCTGCCCCCCACCAAGTGTTATCAAGCTCGGCATGGGAAAGGATGGCCCGAGCCAAATCGGTCAAGGTCCTGTTAAGCCGCTCCGCTGCCCCATTTTGCTGCGGCGTGTAAGGTACAGAGAGCTGGTGGGTAATACCCTTTTCTTCCAAGAAGGTTTGAAGTTCTTTCCCAAGGTACTCTCCACCCTGATCTGACCTTAACACCTTTACCTTGGCCCCTGATTCCCTCTCCACATAGCGTATCCACCGCTTAAACACCTTTGCCACCTCATCCTTGGTCTTCACCAAGGTGACCCAGCTAAGTCGACTGAAGTCATCAAGAAAGGTGATAAAGTACCTGCTGCCCCTTTCCCGGTCAGGAGTTTGCATCGGTCCACACACATCCGTGTGCACCAGCTAAAGGGGAGTCGAGGCATGATCAGAGGAGATAGGGAATGAGGTTCTAGGCAGCTTTCCAGACGTGCAGTCGGGACATTTGCTCTGCTGCCCAGCTCTTTCCTTGACCTCCACCCCCTTCAGCTCCCCCTTCTTCACACACTCCAGCAGTTGCTGCTTCCCCGCGTGCCCCATGCGAAGGTGTAGCAACTCAGGTGACACCGTTTCCACCTGCCTCCAGCGAGTGCTACAAGCGGCTTCCTCAGAAAAAACCATATGTGCCTTGTAACAATTAGGCACACAAGCTGGAACAAGGTATAAACCCTTGTCCAGCTTTGCCCCCATCACTACAGCTTCACCCTTTCTAACACTACACCCTCCCTCCGTGAAAGTGCAGATGTATCCCTGTTTAGCCAGCTGCGAGCATGAAAAGAGGTTTGCAGCCAAACCAGGGACGTGAAGGACCCCCTTCACACCCACTAGCTCCCCCTCCTTCCCCTTAATGGTGATCGTGCCGATGCCAATTGCTTGCAGCAAATCTCCGCTCCCAACAATCACGTTCCTCGAATTTGGTGGGAGAGGATGGTAGGAGGTGAAGAGATCACGGCGAGGAAGCATCCCAGATGTTGCTCCAGAGTCTAGAACCAGGAAGTTGGGATCAGCCAATGCACGACCAGCGAGAGCTGCATCCTGCCCTAGCATGAGAAACGAGAAACCATCATCGGAGGAGTCGTCTTGGCCCTTCCCCTTCTCATCCTTAGCAGCTGCGGCCGTTGCTCCCTTGCTGCCCTTCTTATTCCAGAGCCCCTTCTTCATCCTTTTCTCCACCCAATCAGGTTTGGTCACTGGTGGGGCCTCTCCAGAGTAGCCGTGAGGCTTCCATCCCTCAGGCCTACTCCAGCAACTCTTCCAAGAGTGTTTTTTGTTGCATCCGGGCACAAGGCATTTGTCCAACTCTTTCTTCTTCCCCCCACCTCCTTGCTGTTGATAGCCTTTCCTGAAGGAAGCTTTATCTGCTGCACCCATGCCTCCTTCTAGGCCTCTTCCAGCATCAACCTTGCGAGCCTCATCAGAAATTAGAACCTCCCAAATCCACACCTTGGTCCATTTCTGTTGCTCGAGGTGAAGGTACTGTAGTAATGCCTCATTAGCCGCTTGATCCAACCCTTGGAGTGCAGTGTAGATGATCTCCTTCTCATCTACCGTGTAATCCAGCTCCTCCAAAGCCCTCACATTCTCATCCACCCTCTGGAGATACTGAACCATGGTCTCCCCCTCCCCATAGTTCCGCTCCATGGTGTAAAACCGCTTCCGCCAAGTAAGCACGCTTAGAAGCCCTTTCTGCAAGTGCCTATCTTGCACTCTTTTCCAAGCTGCAGCTGCTGCACCTTCCTTCCCCTTCAGGTCAATCAGCATCTTAAGAAGCTCAAGTTGCCCCTCCAAAGCCCAACACAGGTACTGAAATGCCTGGCGATCCTTCCGATCCCATGCTTCTTGAGCTTTGAGCAACTCCTCGCGACTTGGTTGCGACCTTCCGGTTCGAGTTGCAGCGGTTCCTCCTTCATTCCCCCCACTCAACGATGCTCCCCCAGCCCCGGATCCCACTTGGCTGGTTGCTCCAGTAGACGCCTCCCCAGAGTCAGCTCGTGGTCGCTTCTCCGATCCATCCAACACACTTTCTAGGTCCTTAATACCTAGCCATAGTGTGAACTGGAACCTCCATAGCGAAAAGTCCGAGCCGGTAAACCTAGGAGGGCCATCCAACTTTTGGGCCATGTCAAACCCTAGATCTGGAGCACTTCAAGCCTCTCTAGATCTCTTCCAATGGAGGAAAGAACGTCCTCTAACCGTGGCTCTGATACCACTGATGGAAATCGTGCAAATCTGGAGAGAACTAATTAGAGATTAAGTCTGACGACCTCAACGAATCATTGCGTGCTGCTCAGGTAACTTCTAGAAATGAGCTTATACGCGTTGGAAAGGTCTTAATCTCTACTTTCCAGAATGGTAAAGCACGTTCATAACCAAGATCTGAGCCGCCGATTATGACGAAATCAGTGTGAGGGGGTATTCTGGTAATTTGGCTAGGCAGCCATGAATCACCTAGTAAAAACGAGAAGGGAAGCAGTACGATCTGGAAAAGTTGCAGTATGTGATTGTCAAACACCACCAACCCTTGCCCTAGACCAAACCCCAACACTCTCAAGTGCCATGACTGCAACATCAAAGATGTTGTAGTGGATTTGAGGTTGTATGGGTTGGAGGTAACGAGTTCAAACCTTGCCAACCAACCCAAGTCCTTTTGCCCAAAACCCAATAGCCCACAACCAGCTAGAGAAAACTACACCACAGAATACTACACATTTATCAAGATGTACCGAGAGAGGACGCTAACTGGGTAAGCCAAGTCTGGTCGTGTGCACATCAAGGCATACATGAGTGAACCGACTAGCTCAGGGTACGGGTCCTTGCAGGCGTCAGGAGAAGGAACTGGAGGGGCCGTGAGCTGATGCTGTTGTGGGAGTGGAGTGGAGACAGAGTTACTGGAGTCCATGTCGAACCGCTTGAGAAGGTTGTCGATGTAGGACTCCTGGGAGAGCGTGATCGTGCAAGCCTGGCGGTCACGAGTGATCTCCATCCCCAGGTAGTTCTTGAGGTCACCAAGATCCTTCATGAGAAGGGCGGAGCTGAGAGCAGACTGGACAGCTGCCATGTTGGCTGGATCTCTGGCGGCTAGAATGAAGTCGTCGACGTAGACGAGGATGTAGAAGGGCTCGGAGGAGTGACGAACAAAGAGACTGGAATCTGAGGCAGAGGGATGGAAGTCAAGTGCGAGGAGGACTTCCTTCACCTTGTTGTGCCACTCACGAGGAGCCTGCTTGAGGCCATACACTGGGCGCTTCAGCTTCCACACTGTGTTGGCAGGGTAAGTGCCAGGAAACCCCGGTGGGCGTTCCATGTGAACATCCTCCTTGAGCTGGCCTTGGAGAAACGCGGAGGAGGCGTCCATGGACTTGATCTCGAAGTTGCCGCGAGCGGCTATATCAAGAAGAGCGCGCACAGTCAGGAGCTTGGCCGTGGGCGAGAAGGTTTCGAAGAAGTCGAGATACTCCTTCTGGGTGAAACCCTTCGCCACGTATCGTGCCTTGAACAGTGGAGCTTCGCCTGGGAGTTGTTTGTCTCGGAAGATCCATTTTCCGCCAACGATGTTGACACCGGAAGGGGGAACAACATCGTCAAAGCTGTTGTTGCGAATGAACGCCTCGTTCTCCACATCCATTGCTGCCTTCCACTCCTTCTTATAAGGCCCCGAGAGAGCTTCCTCTTTTGTGTGAGGAGTCGGAATGGTCGGGTTCTCGGTGAAGTTGAGGGAAGGGCAGTCAGTAATGTCCGGGAAGATGTGAGAGAGCAATTGGCAGACCGCATGAAGGTCAAACAGCTCCTCATGCCTGTCCTCCAGAAGTGCACGGGGGGGAATACGGATGGAGGGGACATCACCCCCGGCAGGAGGAGGCGGGGTGACCGAAAAGCGGATGGAGAAGGCGGCTGGTCCCCAGGCGAGAGGCGGAGCCGGTCCCTTGGAACGAGTGCGACTAGAGACCGGAGACGAAGGCGGCTGCGGTGGGACCGGAGGGACTGGGCGCCTCCGATAGGAGACTGGTGAGCCGGGCTCGACGCGCGGGGAAGGCGGAGCAGGAGGAGGTGCCGCTGCGGAGGATACTGGGGAGGCCGAGTGAGACACGCCGGACGGAGAAGGCCCCGGAGAAGGGGCAGCGGCCGGAGGTGGGGCATCGAAGTCTGCCCAAATAAGCGTCGGGGGCTTTCGGGGAGCGTGAAGGTTTGTCGAATCCCTTGGGCCGCACAGAAGTTATCGAGTTTGCCATTGCGAAATTCTCCCCCGCCATCAGAATGGAGGCACTTCAGAGGAGTGCCGAACGTGACTTGAGCCTGGCTCACCCACGCCATGATGACATCAGGTGCCTCCGCCTTGGTATGCAGGAGGTGCACAGAAACATACAGCGAGTGGTCATCGACTAGTGTAAGAAAGTACCGATGACCGCCTCGGGATGCGACTGGAGCTGGGCCCCAGACATCCATGTGCACTAGGTCCAGCGGAGCAGCTGCGACGGATGGTGAGGAAGGGTGCGGCTACTGCCTGAGCTTGCTCTTGGTGCAGTCCAGGCAGGTGGGTGCAGGCGAGTCTATTGGTGGAGGAAGCGCCGACGGGAGGCCAAGAAGAAGTTTCTTGGAAGCGATGTCGGCAAGTGTACGGAAGTTGGGGTGACCCAAGCGATGGTGGTAGAGGATGGTTGGGTTGGCGAAGCTGCGACACGAACACGGAGTGGTGCTGGCAGCTTGCGCTTGGGAGAGGGTGGCGAGAGGTGCAGGTGAATGCAGCGTATAGAGCTTGCTGCTGTTGAGTGTGAAGCATGCTAGGAGCTTGCTGGACTTAGGGTCGAAGAGGTCACAGTGATCCGAGTGTGCTGGGAAGATCGTGGTGACGCCTGCCCGTTGGAGCTCATGTTGGGTCCGAGATTGTGGCGTAGTGTGGGAACACACATGCTAGTCACAGTGCCCGGAACTGTGGAGGAGCCCTTGGCGTGTGTCATGAGCTAGGATATAAAAGTACAAATACAAAAGTGGTATTTGCAGTCTATTTCTAACACGTGTGAGTGGCCCCACTGTCGAGGGTGAACTCTATTGTAGCCGAGGTGCTTTGTGAGCCAGGATACTGCGAAATCGTCTCATTAATCATGGCAGTGCCAGGGAACAACATGTTGAGGCGCACATCAGCAGGTGCAGCCACAGCAGCCTGCTCGGATTCCTGCGCTTCGACTTGATTGACTTGGCGAGGAGCACGATTGACCATCCAGCTTGGCGGCTTCGAGGCGGTCCCATTGACGGCATACCACTCGTCATCCTTCTTCTTAAAGCAGGAGGCAAGGGCGTGGTTGGTGCTGCCACACACCTGGCCAGCACGAGGGCCGCGCTTGATGACGTAAGGACACGGGGGGAAGCGGTTGCGCTGGAATGGCGCCGAAGCGGCATAGGCTTGAGGCACGGGAGCGCGGATTGCATTGGCCTTGGCTTGAGCGCTGTTGTCCTTTTCGGCAGAAAGGAGCGCGGATGAGACCTTGGCAAATGTGAGGTCTGCAGGAGCAAGGCCCAAGAGCATCTTGCGTGTGACTTCGTATGCCGGAGTGAGGCCGACTAGGAGAGCGGCTGCAGGGGCTTGCTCGGGGAAGACTATCCCCAACTGTTTGAGTTCACCATGAATGGACTGCACCTTGGTGACATAGTCCGCCATGCCTGGCGAGTCCTCGAGCCGCACTTGGAACATGCTGGGGATGAGTATAGCAACTCCCACTGCAGTCTTGTTCAGGAAGCGATCTTCGAGATAGAGCCAAATGGCGTTGGCAGACGGGTAGTTGTGGTAGGTTTCGACGAGTTCGGGAGGAGTGGTGCCCATGAAGACACTAATGACCGCACCATCGGCATTCTCCAAATTCTTGTAGTTGAGCAGTGCAGCAGCATAAACTGCTTCGGCGGCGGCATTAGCTGGATCGGCGGACCTCTCGGGTTTAGGAGGCTCTTTGCCGTCACTGATATTGAGAAGGACGTCGGTGAGCTCGAGCCCCTTCACCTCGCGGCTGAGGAGGTCCTTGTCGACACCATAGCGCCAGACCTTGTAGTTGGAGCATGTGCCGTCCGGCTCGAGACCAATGAGCGGGATCAGGTTGGTGAGTGAAGTAGTTGAGTAAGCCATTGTCGGTGTGCAGCGTGGCACTTCTGGAAATTGGTCGACGAGAAATGCTGAAAATCACTCTGACGGCTATATCAAGATGCCGCTAAGTAGGAAATGGCGTCGGCGAAAATTCGTTAAAACGCCGACTTGAAACTGAATCTGAGCCTATGTCTAACCCCGGACCCATTCACCCCCCCAACCACCCCCAGGCCCTGTCCTGCAGCTACACAGCTCCGCAACCAGCTCCGCAACCAGCTCCGCTCCGCTTCAACCTGTGAACCTGCTCTTGATTTGACGCGAGACGTTCGTGGAGGCGATTTCACGAGGGGAGTTCGCCTATTCTGGCGGGGTCTGAGGGGAAACTCGAGAACGAGTTGTAAGAGATGATCGAAATTGAGATTCGACCAAGGAGAACCGAGGAGGAAATCGACGATGAGAAGCGTGAAAGCTTCAGGGATGAGAAATTCAACGAGGTCGAGCGCGAAGGCGGTCGACGATAAGAGGCGCAACTGCAGAGTGGAGCACGTCGAAATTCCGACGACTCGATACGAATGTCGCGACGATGAAGTGCGCGTAGCGCGGGCACGTTGAGATTAGGACCTTGATCCGCGTGTGCGGATAGGTCGCTCTGATACCATGTAAGAAATAGAGTTGAAATGATTGATTAGGTAAGGAGCCCAAGGCTCTACAAGTACATGGCATGGTGAGAGAGAATGGATGAAGGGGGAATTGGAGGGAATCCCCATTGGGATCTCCGGAATCTCCAATTGGGTAATTGGAGATTGGGGGGATCACAATTGGGTGAGGTTGGGATTTGAGAGTACACCCCAACCCACTAGAACATTCACAACCTAAACTAGGATATAAAAAGTACAAATACAAAAGTGGTATTTGCAGTCTATTTCTAACACACCCCCATAGAATGCAAACCCGGTAAAGGAGCACATAGCCCCATGGAACGGAGAAGGCGATGGTGGTCAGCCTTGCCAAGAGCCTTGGTAAAAGAGGTCGGCGAGGTTGCAATCTGAGGCGATGTACCGTATTGTCAGCTGGTCACTTTGAACAAGGTCTCGGATGAAGAAATCACAGGCATCACCCCCGGCAGAAGGAGGCGGGGACACCACCCCCGGCAGGAGGAGGCGGGGTGACCGAACACCGGATGGAGTAGGCGGCTGGTCCCCAGGCGAGAGGCGGAGCCGGTCCCTTGGAACGAGTGCGACAAAAGACCGGAGACGAAGGCGGCTGCGGTGGGACCGGAGGGACTGGGCGCCTCCGATAGGAGACTGGTGAGCCGGGCTCGACGCGCGGGGAAGGCGAAGCAGGAGGAGGTGCCGCTGCGGAGGATACTGGGGAGGCCGGGTGAGACACGCCGGACGGAGAAGGCCCCGGAGAAGGGGCAGCGGCCGGAGGTGGGGCATCGAAGTCTGCCCAAACAAGCGTCAGGGGAGGTGGAGGAGGCTCGCCCGTGGTCGCAGAGTGGAATGGGCGTGTCTCATGGAAGACGACATCACGGCTGCAAATCAGCTGTCTGGTGATTGGGTTGAGGAATAAGTAGTCTGGGGAGTCAGAGTTGTGCCCCAGGTACATGCAGGTCTGGGTTTTGGGACCAAGCTTGCCACCTTGCTTCCTGCGCATGTGGGGGCTTAGCTGTTGGTGCATATTCGTTTGCACGTCATCCTGTCGTCTGTTCGCATCATTTCGTTGCATGTGTTTTGTGTGCCACATTGTTTGTATGGTTTGTTGGGTTTGCATGTCTTTGCATGTTCATCTTGTGCTTGTGCAGATGTGCTTGGATTGTGCAGGACATCGAGCACATTCCAACGAGCCAAGAATTGTTGGAATCGGAGCACATATGAAGAAGTTACGAAGAAGTGTTTGATGGATTTGTTACAACTCATTGGAAGTCCTTGTCAGCTGCTACACCAAAGTTGGAGAGCCCTATAACGAGGAGGGACCAGCATGTGTGGGACTCTTGTCCCCACCCTAAAGCTCGCTCGTTAAGCTACGGAATCGAGTGATTCAACTTTCAGAGGAAAGCTGACGCTGCAAGCTACAACATATCTGATTTTCAAATCGTTTCACCGATTGGAGTTTTGGATATAGCCTTTCGAAGGTCGCGAGTTTTCTGGGCGTCATAACGAAGTGCTGCAGAAATTTCCAAGGAGCCATTGAATCATCTGCTTATAGCCTTCTCTAAGCAACAAGTGGTATCAGAGCCCATTGTCACGCATTTGGGACCTAAAATACGATGGAAGATAAGGAGGACTCTGGTGGAGGTGATACTTCAGTCCAAGGAGGCAGCTCAACCCAAGATTCTGGCATTGCAGCGCAAAGGGGAGCGCATACAAGCCAGGGGTCACTGCTTAAGGAGGTGCTGAAGAGCTTCACCATTGAGAAGTTCTCTGGAGATGGCTATGACGATTGGGCATGGAAGATGCAGCTCTACTTTTGACAAATTGGCCTCTTGAAGCTCATGATTGGAACGGAGCCAAGGCCAAAGGAAATGGCAGAGCAAGCGGACTGGGATGAACGTTCATCTGCTGGGTATTATCTACTGTCACAAGGCTTGGAGCTGAACCAGAGGCATCACATCATGCATCTGCTACCGGAAATTGATTGTGGGCCCAAGGCATGGGCAGTGCTCAAGGACCTGCACGCTCCGACATCGGTTGCCGCTTATCTCATGCTGGATCGGGAGCTGTCCATGCTGCGGTTGAGCGAGAATGAACCTGTGCAGCCCGTACTGGACAAGATGAGGGAACTCTACGCGAAATTGGCGATTGCGGGCATCACGTACCCTGAGCAGACTAAGTGTCTCAAGATGCTCAGCCTGCTGCCCGAGTCTTGGCTGCAATTTATAAGCGGACTCAGCTTGCCACAAAGCCAAAGTCAATGGACATTGGAGTGGATTCGCACCAAGATTCTGGAAGAAGATTTTCGTCGCTATACACTGCGCGGAGGTGATGACAGCACCAGCGGCTATGCCATGCAAGGGACATGGAGGGATCGAGGGCGTGGCAATCGCGGTCGCTCCTACTACAACCAAGGTGGTCGCGGGACTTGGAACCAGCGGGGGCGTGGTGGCGCTGGTGCAAGAGGAAGAGGTGGTCACTCCAACAATGACAACAGTGAACCACACTTGAGGGGAGAGTGCTGGTATTGCAAGGAAGAAGGGCATCCATGGTTTTGCTGCTCTACCAAGCCCGACTGGTGGACCCCTTGGAACCAATCGCAAAAGGGGAATGGAGGAAAGCAACCACATGGAGGTGCCAACATGGTAGCTGATCCTGCTGAAGAAACCTCCAAGGATGACAGAGGATTGGGAAATGAGGAGAGGAATGCTGGACAGTTCTACCATGTGTGTGACAAAGATGACAATGGCACAGCTGTTGCAAGGGCTGGAGCGGAACTGCACCCGCTTGACATGTGGGTCATGGACTCTGCTGCTGCATGGACAATGACACCACGCAAGGACTTGCTGGATGCTGTGCGAGCGCCTCAAATCTCCGAAGTGCGCTCAGCATAGAGACATGCAGTGAAGGTTGCTGGAGTTGGTCGAGCTGCATTCAGAGCACCTAATGGTGGACTGGTTGTGCTGAAGCTTTCTGGGCAAACAAATGATACCAAGTGCGAGACGTGTCTGCTGAGCAAGTTCACACGGTTCCCCTTTCACGGCGTAGCTGGAAAAAGCAAGGCAGCACTGGAACTGGTGCACATGGACCTGGTAGGACCTTTTCCAGTTCGAGGAAGTAAGGTGGAAAGGTACTTCCTGACAATAGTTGATGACTGGAGTCGGCTGATGTGGGCATACCCGTTGAAGCAGAAGAATCATGCTGCCTCAATAATACGAGATGACTGGCTGCCGTTCGTCGAGCGACAATCTGGGCACCCATGCAAGAGCATCAGAACCGACCGAGGTGGAGAGTTTCTAGGAGGAGATCTGACTGCGTGGCTCAAGAAACAAGGCATTGAGCATCAGCTAACGACGTCCTATACCCCTCAGTCAAATGGCGTTGCTGAGAGGGCTAATAGAACCATCCTGGAAACTGCGCGAGCGCTGCTGATCGAATCAGGGCTGGGGAACTCCATGTGGCCTCATGCGGTGAGGCATGCTACAGTGGCAAGGAACCGCGTACTCACAAAGGTGGCTGATGAGATGTGGGTTGCGCTGGAGAGATGGCTTGGAAAGAAGCCTCCAGTGGACATGCTTAGAGTGTTCGGATGCATGGCAGTGGCGCATGTCCCTAAACCGTATAGGACAAAGCTTGGAGCATCTGCACTGTGGTGTGTGCACCTTGGGCTTGCGGCAAAGAGCAAGGGGTGGCTACTCTGGGAGCCCTCAAAGAATGTGCTGTTTGACAGTCGGGATGTCAAATTTGTAGAGAACATCATGTATGGCAAGTGGGAGAAGCAGCCGGACGCAAGGGTCACCCAGCAGCTGGAAGAGATCACTATGCACTTCGATTTGTCCGAACCTGAGGACAGCGAAGTCACTGCGCCAACGACAAGCGGTACTGATGAAGGAAGCAATGAGGATATTGCAGCTGATGCTGAAGTCAAGGATCCGGAGCAACAGCAGCAAGAGGCTTCCAAAACACCAAGTCTGCCAAAGCGAAGGAAACAGATTGGTGGGGGGACAAAGGATTGGGTGAAGGTAAAAGAATGGGTAAATCCAACCATCTACCCTGCGCGTACCAGAATGGCAACGAGAAAGCTGCTGAGCTCTACAAGTGGAGGAGCCACAACTGAGCAGCAGGAACAGGCTCAAGGCGAAGATGCAGTGCTGTTCTTGGGTGATGACCAAGAGTCAGATGACGAGGAGCCTGCATACTGCTTTTACGCACCAATACAACCTCCGAGCAGAAATCATGCGCTAGCCGGGCCTCAACGGGGGAAGTGGCTCGTTTCAAGAGATGCAGAGTACAACAGCCAGATGGAGAATCACACATGGGACCTGGTGTACTTGCCAAATGGGAAGAAGGCAATACAGTGCAAGTGGCTGGCAAAAATCAAGACGGATGAGAAAGGAGAGCCATCAGTTTACAAGAGCAGGCTGGTGGCAAAGGGGTTTCAGCAGAAAGAGAAAGAAGATTACAAAGAAGTGTTTGCCCCAACTGCTAAGTCTCCAACGCTACGTGTGCTGCTGGCGGTAGCTGCTGTGCGTAAATGGAAGGTGAAGCAGATGGACATCGTAACCGCTTTTTTGTACGGCATTGTGGAAGAGGAGGTGTACATGGTTCAACCACCTGGCTATGAGGATGGAACTGGTCGTGTCTGCAAACTTAACAAGGCCATCTATGGCTTGAAGCAGGCCCCGAGATGCTGGTACAACAGGCTGGCCAGTGCACTGGAAGGGATTGGATTCCGTGCGAGTGCATGCGACGAGAGCCTATTCCTGATGGGCAACGGGGAGTCGCTTGTGCTTCTGCTGGTGTACGTGGATGACATCCTGCTCTTCAGCAGCAGTGACAAGGAGATCGATGGGGTGCAGCGGAAGCTCACAGAGCAGTTCAAGTGCAAGTCACTTGGAGAGGCAAGGTACTACCTGGGAATGCACATTGAGCGGGATACTGAACGTGGCTGGCTCAAGCTGCATCAGGGACAGTACATCAACACCTTGGCTGAGAAGTACTCTCTGCAGGAAGAACGGGAAGTGGTTACACCTTTGCCTTCCGAGTTCAACTCATAAAGGCAGCTGAAGGAGAAGGAGTTGACAGTGAAGACCAGAGGCAATTCCAATCCATGGTCGGGAGCCTATTCTACGCTGCTGTGCATACTCGGCCTGACATCAGCTTTGCTGTGGGACAGCTGGCTCGAGTAGTGCAAAATCCAACAGAAGAGCAGTGTGGTGCAGCGGAGAGAGTGGTGTGCTACCTCAAGTCATACCCTACAGTGGGAGTATAGTATTCAGCCTCTGCTCAACTCAGGCAAAAAGGAGTTGAAGTCCTTCAAGAGAAGGGGGAGCAGCTCGGAGAAGGAAAGGTGTTCCTTTCCTGTTTTGCCGATGCCACGTGGGCTTCTGAGCATGAGGATTCATCATCAGTTGGTGGATACATCTGCATGGTGGGAGGTGGGCCTGTAAGTTGGAGGTCCAAGAAGCAGTCTGAAACGGCACTATCTTCAGTGGAATCTGAGTACATGGCAATGTTTCATGCGGCAAAAGAAATCATTTGGCTAAGGAGGCTCTTGAAGGAGATCGGCCATGAACAGACTTGTGCGACACCTCTGTTCAGTGACAGCAAGGGAGCCATTGCCATGGCACGCAATGCAGTTCTTCATGGATTGAACAAGCACATGAGGATCAACTGGCATTGGCTGCGGAAGGAGGTGAAGCTTGGGACACTGGATCCGATCTACGTGAAAACTCAGCAACAGCCAGCCGACTTCCTTACCAAGCGGCTAGCTGAAGAGCCACACTGGCGCTGTGTGAGGATGGCGGGAATGTCCTTGAACTAGAGACGGCGAAACAAGCCGACAGTCTGAGGGGGAGTGTGTTGGTGCATATTCGTTTGCACGTCATCCTGTCGTCTGTTCGCATCATTTCGTTGCATGTGTTTTGTGTGCTACATTGTTTGTGTGGTTTGTTGGGTTTGCATGTCTTTGCATGTTCATCTTGTGCTTGTGCAGATGTGCTTGGATTGTACATCAGATTGAGCGCATTCCAACGAGCCAAGAATTGTTGGAATCGGAGCACATATGAAGAAGTTACGAAGAAATGTTTGATGGATTTGTTACAACTCATCGGTAGTCCTTGGCAGCTGCTACACCAAATTTGGAGAGCCCTATAACGAGGAGGGACCAGCATGTGAGGGACTTTTGTCCTCACCTTCCAGCTGCAGCATTTGGGGTTTGGAGGCCAACCTGGCACAGTGTGAATTTTGTCTTGCCAGGCTGGTTGAACCTGAGGATGGGGAGTCAAGACTTTGACTCTTGTCATGTTCTTGACCATGGGCCTCCAGGGTCCTTCCCTTTCATCCTCCCCTTCCATCCCTACCTTCCAACTGTGCTTCAATGCCTTTTCTATCATGCCCCTGAACTTGTAAGCTTCAATCATAGTGACTCTGAGGATTGTCAACTTCTCCTAGGGCAGATTACCCCCCAGTGCGCCAAACGTTATAGCTCGCTCGTGAAGCTATGGAATCAAGTGATTTAACTTTCAGAGGAAAGCTGACGCTGCAAGCTACAACATATCTGAGTTTCAGATTGTTTCACCGATTGGAGTTTTGGATATAGCTTTTCGAAGGTCGCGAGTTTTCTGGGCGTCATAACGAAGTGCTGCAGAAATTTCCAAGGAGCCATTGAATCATCTGCTTATAGCCTTCTCTAACCAACACATGTGTGGGACTCTTGTCCCCACCCTGCAGCTGCAGCATTTGGGGTTTGGATTCCAACCTGGTACAGTGTGAATTTTGTCTTGCCAGGCTGGCTGAACTTGAGGATGGGGAGTCAAGACTTTGATTCTAGTCATGTTCTTGACCATGGGCCTCCAGGGTCCTTCCCTTTCATCCTCCCCTTCCATCCCTACCTTCCAACTGTGCTTCAATGCCTTTTCTATCATGCCTCTGAACTTGTAAGCTTCAATCATAGTGACTCTGAGGATTGTCAACTTCTCCTATGGAAGATTACCCCCCAGTGCGTCAAACGCCATAGCTCACCCGTTAAGATACGGAATCAAGTGATTCAACTTTCAGAGGAAAGCTGATGCTGCAAGCTACAATATATCTGAGTTTCAGATTGTTTCACCAATTGGAGTTTTGGATATAGCTTTTCGAAGGTCGCGAGTTTTCTGGGCGTCATAACGAAGTGCTGCAGAAATTTCCAAGGAGCCATTGAATCATCTGCTTATAGCCTTCTCTAACCAACACATGTGTGGGACTCTTGTCCCCACCCTGCAGCTGCACCATTTGGGGTTTGGAGGCCAACCTGGTACAGTGTGAATTTTGTCTTGCCAGGCTGGCTGAACTTGAGGATGGGGAGTCAAGACTTTGACTCTTGTCATGTTCTTGACCATGGGCCTCCAGGGTCCTTTCCTTTCATCCTCCCCTTCCATCCCTACCTTCCAACTGTGCTTCAATGCCTTTTCTATCATGCCTCTGAACTTGTAAGCTTCAATCATAGTGACTCTGAGGATTGTCAACTTCTCCTAGGGCAGATTACCCCCCAGTGCGCCAAACGTTATAGCTCGCTCGTGAAGCTATGGAATCAAGTGATTTAACTTTCAGAGGAAAGCTGACGCTGCAAGCTACAACATATCTGAGTTTCAGATTGTTTCACCGATTGGAGTTTTGGATATAGCTTTTCGAAGGTCGCGAGTTTTCTGGGCGTCATAACGAAGTGCTGCAGAAATTTCCAAGGAGCCATTGAATCATCTGCTTATAGCCTTCTCTAACCAACACATGTGTGGGACTCTTGTCCCCACCCTGCAGCTGCAGCATTTGGGGTTTGGAGGCCAACCTGGTACAGTGTGAATTTTGTCTTGCCAGGCTGGTTGAACCTGAGGATGGGGAGTCAAGACTTTGACTCTTGTCATGTTCTTGACCATGGGCCTCCAGGGTCCTTCCCTTTCATCCTCCCCTTCCATCCCTACCTTCCAACTGTGCTTCAATGCCTTTTCTATCATGCCCCTGAACTTGTAAGCTTCAATCATAGTGACTCTGAGGATTGTCAACTTCTCCTAGGGCAGATTACCCCCCAGTGCGCCAAACGTTATAGCTCGCTCGTGAAGCTATGGAATCAAGTGATTTAACTTTCAGAGGAAAGCTGACGCTGCAAGCTACAACATATCTGAGTTTCAGATTGTTTCACCGATTGGAGTTTTGGATATAGCTTTTCGAAGGTCGCGAGTTTTCTGGGCGTCATAACGAAGTGCTGCAGAAATTTCCAAGGAGCCATTGAATCATCTGCTTATAGCCTTCTCTAACCAACACATGTGTGGGACTCTTGTCCCCACCCTGCAGCTGCAGCATTTGGGGTTTGGAGGCCAACCTGGTACAGTGTGAATTTTGTCTTGCCAGGCTGGCTGAACTTGAGGATGGGGAGTCAAGACTTTGATTCTAGTCATGTTCTTGACCATGGGCCTCCAGGGTCCTTCCCTTTCATCCTCCCCTTCCATCCCTACCTTCCAACTGTGCTTCAATGCCTTTTCTATCATGCCTCTGAACTTGTAAGCTTCAATCATAGTGACTCTGAGGATTGTCAACTTCTCCTATGGAAGATTACCCCCCAGTGCGTCAAACGCCATAGCTCACCCGTTAAGCTACGGAATCAAGTGATTCAACTTTCAGAGGAAAGCTGATGCTGCAAGCTACAATATATCTGAGTTTCAGATTGTTTCACCAATTGGAGTTTTGGATATAGCTTTTCGAAGGTCGCGAGTTTTCTGGGCGTCATAACGAAGTGCTGCAAAATTTCCAAGGAGCCATTGAATCATCTGCTTATAGCCTTCTCTAACCAACACATGTGTGGGACTCTTGTCCCCACCCTGCAGCTGCACCATTTGGGGTTTGGAGGCCAACCTGGTACAGTGTGAATTTTGTCTTGCCAGGCTGGCTGAACTTGAGGATGGGGAGTCAAGACTTTGACTCTTGTCATGTTCTTGACCATGGGCCTCCAGGGTCCTTTCCTTTCATCCTCCCCTTCCATCCCTACCTTCCAACTGTGCTTCAATGCCTTTTCTATCATGCCTCTGAACTTGTAAGCTTCAATCATAGTGACTCTGAGGATTGTCAACTTCTCCTAGGGCAGATTACCGCCCAGTGCGCCAAACGCCATAGCTCGCTCGTTAAGCTACGGAATCAAGTGATTCAACTTTCAGAGGAAAGCTGACGCTGCAAGCTACAACATATCTGAGTTTCAGATTGTTTCACCAATTGGAGTTTTGGATATAGCTTTTCGAAGGTCGCGAGTTTTCTGGGCGTCATAACGAAGTGCTGCAGAAATTTCCAAGGAGCCATTGAATCATCTGCTTCTAGCCTTCTCTTACCAACATTAGCAACACATACGCGGTACACCCCCAGACGCGTAGAGAGCGGGCGGAAGGCGTGACCCCAAGCCAGAGAGCGGTAGGTGTGGTGTCGGGCCGGTGGGGATGCGGATAAAGATTGTAGAGGAGTGCCGCATGGAAGAGGGCATATCCCCAGAGTGACCGTGGTGCGTTGGCGTGACTGAGGAGGCAGCGAGCGATCTGAACCAAGGTGTGGTTGCGGCTCTCTGCAATGCCGTTCTGCTGCGGGCTTTCGGGGAGCGTGAAAGTTTGCCGAATCGCTTGGGCCGCACAGAAGTTATCGAGTTTGCCATTGCGAAATTCTCCCCCGCCATCAGAACGGAGGCACTTCAGAGGAGTGCCAAACGTGACTTGAGCCTGGCGCACCCACGCCATGATGACATTGTTAGAAATAGACTGCAAAGATCACTTTTGTCTTTGTACTTTTATATCCTAGTTTAGGTTATGAATGTACTAGTGGGTTGGGGTGTACTCACAAATCCCAACCTTACCCAATTGTGATCCCCCCCAATCTCCAATTACCCAATTGGAGATTCCCGAGATCCCAATGGGGATTCCTTCCGATTCCCCCCTTCATTCATTCTCTCTCACCTTGCCATGTACTTATAGAGCCTTGGGCTCCTTACCTAATCAATCATTTCAACTCTATTTCTTACATGGTATCAGAGCGACCTCTCCGCATACGCGGATCAAGGTCCTAATCTCAACGTGCCCGCACTACGCGCACTTCATCGTCGCGACATTCGTTTCGAGTCGTCAGAATTTCGACGTGCTCCACTCTGCAAACGCGCCTCTCATCGTCGACTGCCTTCGCGCTCAACCTCGTTGAATTTCTCATCTATGAAGCGTTCACGCTTCTCATCGTCGATTTCCTCCTCGGTTCTCCTTGGTCAAATCTCAATTTCGACCATCTCTTAAAACTCGTTCTCGAGTTTCCCCTCAGACCCCGCCAGAATAGGCGAACCCCCCTCGCGAAATCGCCTCCACAAACGTCTCGCGTCAAATCAAGAGCAGGTACACAGGTTGAAGCGGAGCGGAGCTGGTTGCGGAGCTGGTTGCGGAGCTGGTTGCGGAGCTGGTTGCGGAGCTGGTTGCGGAGCTGGTTGCGGAGCTGTGTAGCTGCGGGACAGGGCCTGGGGGTGTGTGGGGGGGTGTGTGGGTCCGGGGTTAGATATAGGCTCAGATTCGGTTTCAAGTCGGCGTTTTAACGAATTTTCGCCGACGCCATTTCCTACTTAGCGGCATTAAGATAAAGCTGTCAGAGTGATTTTCAGCATTTCTCGTCGACCAATTTCCAGAAGTGCCGCGCTGCACATCGAGAATGGCTTACTCAACCACTTCACTCGCCAACCCGATCCCGCTCCTTCGTCTCGAGCCCGACGGCACATGCTCCAACTACAAGGCTTGGCGCTATGGTGTCGACAAGCACCTCCTCAGTCGCGAGGTGAAGGGGCTCGAGCTCACCGACGTCCTTCTCAACATCGGTGACGGCAAAGAGCCTCCTAAACCCGAGAGGTCCGCCGATCCAGCTAATGCCGCCGCCGAAGCAGTTTATGCTGCTGCACTGCTCAAGTACAAGAATTGGGAGAAGGCCGATGGTGCAGTCATAAGTGTGAGAGTACGACCCCGTTACACTAATTTCCCCTTTCCATATTTTCTATCTATTTTATTCCTCTTTCACTCCTGATTCATTTGGTCTTTATCTCATCTCATTTTGTTTCCTATTCCTCCTTTTCCATTATCCTTTGGTTTATCCTGTCATTATATTTATATCACCGACCAGGCTCGGGATGTACTGGCGAGCTATATCTCGCGTAATCCTGCCGTAATCCCTTAAAGCCAATAGCCTCGCGTGGCTATACGCATGGTGATTCTATTTCTAGAAGGGTCTATTCCCTTTGGATAGGATAAACCTGGTTACCTGATGTATCTTGGAAGTATAAAAGCACCCTGAATAGAGCCTTGGGCTCCTTACCTCATCAATCATTTAAACTCTATTTCTTACAGTTTCTTGGAAGCGATGTCGGCAAGTGTAGGGAAGTTGGGGTGACCCAAGCGATGGTGGTAGAGAATGGTTGGGTTGGCAAAGCTGCGACACGAACACGGAGTGGTGCTGGCAGCTTGCGCTTGGGAGAGGGCGGCGAGAGGTGCAGGTGAACGCAGCGTGTAGAGCTTGCTACTGTTGAGTGTGAAGCCTGCTAGGAGCTTGTTCGACTTAGGGTCGAAGAGGTCACAGTGATCCGTGTTGGTGCATATTGGTTTGTTGGAGTGGATTCGCACCAAGATTCTGGAAGAAGATTTTCGTCGCTATACACTGCGCGGAGGTGATGACAGCACCAGCGGCTATGCCATGCAAGGGACATGGAGGGATCGAGGGCGTGGCAATCACGGTCGCTCCTACTACAACCAAGGTGGTCGCGGTACTTGGAACCAGCGGGGGCGTGGTGGCGCTGGTGCAAGAGGAAGAGGTGGTCACTCCAACAATGACAACAGTGAACCACGCTTGAGGGGAGAGTGCTGGTATTGCAAGGAAGAAGGGCATCCATGGTTTCGCTGCTCTACCAAGCCCGACTGGTGGACCCCTTGGAACCAATCGCAAAAGGGGAATGGAGGAAAGCAACCACATGGAGGTGCCAACATGGTAGCTGATCCTGCTGAAGAAACCTCCAAGGATGACAGAGGAATGGGAAATGAGGAGAGGAATGCTGGACAGTTCTACCATGTGTGTGACAAAGATGACAGTGGCACAGCTGTTGCAAGGGCTGGAGAGGAACTGCACCCGCTTGACATGTGGGTCATGGACTCTGGTGCTGCATGGACAATGACACCACGCAAGGACTTGCTGGATGCTGTGCGAGCGCCTCCAATCTCTGAAGTGCGCTCAGCATCCGGACATGCAGTGAAGGTCGCTGGAGTTGGTCGAGCTGCATTCAGAGCACCTGATGGTGGACTGGTTGTGCTGAAGGACGTGTTACTCGTACCGGGGCTGAAGGCCAATCTGATATCGCTGCGCAAGCTAGGCCAGGCCGGAGTCAGCACCACCACCAATGGATCCAAAACATTCAAGGGGCTGCGAGGAGATCGTGTGTTATGGGATTTACACGAAAGCAGAGATGTCTTCAGATCCATGTGGCACATCCCTGCACTGATATGGGAATCAACAAAGAAGGAGTTGGGAGCAGTAAAGGCGGGATCTGGAGTCCAGGGGGAGTGCAATGCAGTTAGTGCTGCAGGAGTGACGGTTTCTGCAAGGTCGGGGGAGACTGATTGGGAAACCGCACACAGGCATCTAGGGCATGTGGCTATGCCATTGCTGCAGCAACTGCATAAGGAAGAAGCAGTAAAGGGGCTGAAGCTTTCTGGGCAACCAAATGATACCAAGTGCGAGACGTGTCTGCTGAGCAAGTTCACACGGTTCCCCTTTCACGGCATAGCTGGGAAAAGCAAGGCAGCACTGGAACTGGTGCACATGGACCTGGTAGGACCTTTTCCAGTTCGAGGAAGTAAGGGGGAAAGGTACTTCCTGACAATAGTTGATGACTGGAGTCGGCTGATGTGGGCATACCCGTTGAAGCAGAAGGATCATGCTGCCTCAACAATACGAGATGACTGGCTGCCGTTCGTCGAGCGACAATCTGGGCACCCGTGCAAGAGCATCAGAACCGACCGAGGTGGAGAGTTTCTAGGAGGAGATCTGACTGCGTGGCTCAAGAAACAAGGCATTGAGCATCAGCTAACGACGTCCTATACCCCTCAGTCAAATGGCGTTGCTGAGAGGGCTAATAGGACCATCCTGGAAACTGCGCGAGCGCTGCTGATCGAATCAGGGCTGGGGAACTCCATGTGGCCTCATGCGGTGAGGCATGCTACAGTGGCAAGGAACCGTGTACTCACAAAGGTGGCTGATGATATGTGGGTGCCGCTGGAGAGGTGGCTTGGAAAGAAGCCTCCAGTGGACATGCTCAGAGTGTTCGGATGCATGGCAGTGGCGCATGTCCCTAAACCGTACAGGACAAAGCTTGGAGCATCTGCACTGTGGTGTGTGCACCTTGGACTTGCGGCAGAGAGCAAGGGGTGGCTACTCTGGGAGCCCTCGAAGAATGTGCTGTTTGACAGTCGGGATGTCAAATTTGTGGAGAACATCATGTATGGCAAGTGGGAGAAGCAGCCGGAGGCAAGGGTCACCCAGCAGCTGGAAGAGATCACTATGCACTTCGATTTGTCCGAACCTGAGGACAGCGAAGTCACTGCGCCAACGGCAAGCGGTACTGATGAAGGAAGCAATGAGGATATTGCAGCTGATGCTGAAGTCAAGGATCCAGAGCAGCAGCAGCAAGAGGCTTCCAAAACACCAAGTCTGCCAAAGCGAAGGAAACAGATTGGTGGGGGGACAAAGGATTGGGTGAAGGTGAAAGAATGGGTAAATCCAACCATCTACCCTGCACGTACCAGAATGGCAACGAGAAAGCTGCTGAGCTCTACAAGTGGAGGAGCCACAACTGAGCAGCAGGAACAGGCTCAAGGCGAAGATGCAGTGCTGTTCTTGGGTGATGACCAAGAGTCAGATGACGAGGAGCCTGCATACTGCTTTTACGCACCAATACAACCTCCGAGCATGGATTATGCGCTAGCCGGGCCTCAACGGGGGAAGTGGCTCGTTTCAAGAGATGCAGAGTACAACAGCCAGATGGAGAATCACACATGGGACCTGGTGTACTTGCCAAATGGGAAGAAGGCAATACAGTGCAAGTGGCTGGCAAAAATCAAGACGGATGAGAAAGGAGAGCCATCAGTTTACAAGAGCAGGCTGGTGGCAAAGGGGTTTCAGCAGAAAGAGAAAGAAGATTACAAAGAAGTGTTTGCCCCAACTGCTAAGTCTCCAACGCTACGTGTGCTGCTGGCGGTAGCTGCTGTGCGTAAATGGAAGGTGAAGCAGATGGACATCGTAACCGCTTTTTTGTACGGCATTGTGGAAGAGGAGGTGTACATGGTTCAACCACCTGGCTATGAGGATGGAACTGGTCGTGTCTGCAAACTTAACAAGGCCATCTATGGCTTGAAGCAGGCCCCGAGATGCTGGTACAACAGGCTGGCCAGTGCACTGGAAGGGATTGGATTCCGTGCGAGTGCATGCGACGAGAGCCTATTCCTGATGGGCAACGGGGAGTCGCTTGTGCTTCTGCTGGTGTACGTGGATGACATCCTGCTCTTCAGCAGCAGTGACAAGGAGATCGATGGGGTGCAGCGGAAGCTCACAGAGCAGTTCAAGTGCAAGTCACTTGGAGAGGCAAGGTACTACCTGGGAATGCACATTGAGCGGGATACTGAACGTGGCTGGCTCAAGCTGCATCAGGGACAGTACATCAACACCTTGGCTGAGAAGTACTCTCTGCAGGAAGAACGGGAAGTGGTTACACCTTTGCCTTCCGAGTTCAACTCATAAAGGCAGCTGAAGGAGAAGGAGTTGAAAGTGAAGACCAGAGGCAATTCCAATCCATGGTCCGGAGCCTAATCTACGCTGCTGTGCATACTCGGCCTGACATCAGCTTTGCTGTGGGACAGCTGGCTCGAGTAGTGCAAAATCCAACAGAAGAGCAGTGTGGTGCAGCGGAGAGAGTGGTGCGCTACCTCAAGTCATACCCTACAGTGGGAGTACAGTATTCAGCCTCTGCTCAACTCAGGCAAAAAGGAGTTGAAGTCCTTCAAGAGAAGGGGGAGCAGCTCGGAGAAGGAAAGGTGTTCCTTTCCTGTTTTGCCGATGCCACGTGGGCTTCTGAGCATGAGGATTCATCATCAGTTGGTGGATACATCTGCATGGTGGGAGGTGGGCCTGTAAGTTGGAGGTCCAAGAAGCAGTCTGAAACGGCACTATCTTCAGTGGAATCTGAGTACATGGCAATGTTTCATGCGGCAAAAGAAATCATTTGGCTAAGGAGGCTCTTGAAGGAGATCGGCCATGAACAGACTTGTGCGACACCTCTGTTCAGTGACAGCAAGGGAGCCATTGCCATGGCACGCAATGCAGTTCTTCATGGGTTGAACAAGCACATGAGGATCAAGTGGCATTGGCTGCGGAAGGAGGTGAAGCTTGGGACACTGGATCCGATCTACGTGAAAACTCAGCAACAGCCAGCCGACTTCCTTACCAAGCGGCTAGCTGAAGAGCCACACTGGCGCTGTGCGAGAATGGCGGGAATGTCCTTGAACTAGAGACGGCGAAACAAGCCGACAGTCTGAGGGGGAGTGTGTTGGTGCATATTCGTTTGCACGTCATCCTGTCGTCTGTTCGCATCATTTCGTTGCATGTGTTTTGTGTGCTACATTGTTTGTATGGTTTGTTGGGTTTGCATGTCTTTGCATGTTCGTCTTGTGCTTGTGCATATGTGCTTGGTTTGTGCATGATATCGAGCACATTCCAACGAGCCAAGAATTGTTGGAATCGGAGCACATATGAAAAAGTTACGAAGAAATGTTTGATGGATTTGTTACAACTCATTGGAAGTCCTTGTCAGCTGCTACACCAAAGTTGGAGAGCCCTATAACGAGGAGGGACCAGCATGTGTGGGTCTTTTGTCCCCACCCTGCAGCTGCAGCATTTGGGGTTTGGAGGCCAACCTGGTACAGTGTGAATTTTGTCTTGCCAGGCTGGCTGAACCTGAGGATGGGGAGTCAAGACTTTGACTCTTGTCATGTTCTTGACCATGGGCCTCCAGGGTCCTTCCCTTTCATCCTTCCCTTCCATCCCTACCTTCCAACTGTGCGTCAATGCATTTTCTATCATGCCTCTGAACTTGTAAGCTTCAATTATTGTGACTCTGAGGATTGTCAACTTCTCCTAGGGCAGATTACCCCCCAGTGCGCCAAACGCCATAGCTCGCTCGTTAAGCTACAGAATTGAGTGATTCAACTTTCAGTGGAAAGCTGACGCTGCAAGATACATTAGATCCGATTTTCAGATTGTTTCACCGATTGGAGTTTTGGATATAGCTTTTCGAAGGTCGCGAGTTTTCTGGGCGACATAACGAAGTGCTGCAGAAATTTCCAAGGAGCCATTGAATCATCTGCTTATAGCCTTCTCTAAGCAACAAAGAAGCAGACAACTGTGGAGATTATACCGGTACTGGAAAACTTGGGGACCAAATTGAGGAGTGTGGAAAGAAACCGACCTTTCCACGGAGTCAACGTCCTCTCCCGACACCAGCCCACAACGACTACCCGCTCCCCAGGAAAGATGTCGGTGGAGCTGAAGCAGCTCAAGAGGAAGCTGGGGGTTTACAAGAAGCTGCACAAACCCCGAACTCCTCCTACGGATGCATCCAGTTCTTCGGCATCAGTGACGCGCACAGTCGTCAAAGAAACTCCGGGCCCTGGAGAAGAGCTGTTCTCCAAGCAGCCTCGGCCAGCTGCCAGCTCAGGAGTAGATAGCAACACAAAGGTGTGTACGGAATATTGGGATGTACCCTATGACCCAATCAATGAAACTATCTTTGGGTACTCCGAGCAACGCCTGCCCCTCGTGCTCGAGGTCATCTGCAAAGGACGACGCCTCCAAGCACTCGTGGACAGCGGAGCGTCACACACCGTCTGCAACAAGGCAGTAATCGACTGACTTCGGGAAGAGTACAAGCCTTCAGGATTCTCTGCAACGATGGTGGACGGCAGCAAGTTACCAGTATACAGCGAAGCAGTGCTACACCTACAAATCGGACCACTGCGCTGGGGACCTGCACTCCCCATCACCAACATCGAAGGGCTTGACTTGATCTTCGGGCGAGACTTCCTGAAAAGATTCAACCCCGAGATCAACTGGGTGAACCGCACCGCAAGCATCTACAACAATGGACGGAGAGTACAGCTACCCAACTGGGACGATACTGGAGATATCCCAGTGGAGACACTCGCACGATTCGAGAAGGACGTAAAGCGAACCGACACCGGGTTCCTGGCGATAGCAACAGAGGTGGAGGATGACGGAGAAAAAACCTCGGAACCTCCAGAAAAAATCAAGGAATTACTGAAGGAGTTCCAAGACATTCTTCCTGACAATCTTCCGAACGAGCTACAGCCATACCGAACGCATCAACACGAGATCATGGAGGAATCGGGTTCGAAGCCGACCTTCCGAGCACCATACCGGCTCAGCCCTGCGGAGCTGACTTACATGAAAAAACAGATCGAGTATCTCCTAGCCAAAGGACTCATCCGGCCATCCACTTCGCCATACGGTGCCCAAGTACTCTTCACAACGAAACCGGATGGAAGCCTGCGCATGTGCATCGACTACCGAGCTCTTAACAAGCAGACCATCAAGAATAAATATCCGATACCGCGAATCGATGACCTGCTTGACCAGCTTCGGGGAGCTACGGTATTTTCCAAACTGGATCTGCGGGCCGGATACTGGCAGATACGGATGGCGGACAACTCTATCCACAAAACTGCTTTCCGAACTCGGTACGGATCGAACGAGTATTTGGTAATGCCGTTCGGACTCACAAACGCACCGGCAACGTTCCAAGCCGAAATGAACCATATTCTACGACCACTTTTGGACAAATGCGTGGTGGTGTACCTGGACGACATACTCATCTACTCGCGCGACATGAAGCAGCACGTCGAACACCTGCGACGTGTCTTCGAAATTCTTCGACGAGAACGATTCTACGTCAAACTGTCCAAGAGCGAATTCGCCCTTGAAAGGGTCCAGTTCCTAGGACACATGGTGAGCGCTCAAGGAATTCACGTCGACCCCAAGAAAATCGAGGCCGTACGCACGTGGAAGACACCCGAGAACGTGAAGGAGTTGCAACAGTTCCTAGGCTTTGCTAATTACTACAACAGGTTCGTGCCACAATATGCGAAAATCGCAGCACGACTCACGAATCTGCTGAAGAAGAACACGCCCTATAAATGGGAACCAAAGCACCAGGAAGCCGTGGAGCAGCTGAAACAAGCACTCACGTCCGCACCAGTACTCATCTTGCCAGATCCCGAACGCGACTACGTAATCGAAGCTGATGCCAGCGACCAGGCAGTGGGGGCAGTCTTAATGCAAGACCAGGGGAATGGACTGCAACCAATCGCCTACCTCAGCAAGAAACTACACGGAGCAGAACTAAACTACCCGATACACGACAAAGAGGCCCTTGCCATCGTCATCGCCTTTAAAGCGTGGAGATGTTATCTGGAAGGACGAAGAACAACCGTCTACACCGACGACTGCAGCCTGAAATACTTGAAGACACAACCCAATCTTTCCAGGCGGCAGGTCCGGTGGATCGACTTCCTCGAGACACACTTCCACTACGACATCGTGTACAAGCCCGGCCACAAAAACAAAGCAGACACCCTCAGCCGGCCTGCACACGTTGCTGCCATTCAGATTGAAGGGATGAATCCACTACTCAAGGGACTCTTCACACACGGGTACGCCATCGACCCCGAAATTCCCTTGGCAGAAAAGCGACATCTGCTACAGTGGGACAGTGATATCGCGTACCGGAAAGGATCAACAAAAATCTGGGTACCCAATTACCCTCCTCTGCGCCAGTTACTACTCGAAGAATACCACGACGTCCTGTACGCCGGACACTTCGGTAGCAACAAGACGCTCACCGGTATCGCCAAACACTACTATTGGCCCCATATGGCAGACGACGTCGAGAAATTCGTCACCTCGTGTGATACATGTCAACGGATGAAGAGCAGCAAGCAGAAAAAGGCGGGACTACTGCAGCCTCTTCCTGTCCGAGAATAGCCATGGCAAGTGGTTAGCCTAGACTTCATCACCAGGTTACCACCTACCACCAGCAGTCATGACGCAATCCTTGTCGTCATTGACAAGTTCTCCAAAATCGGACACTTCATCCCGACACACACGACGGGACGCACCGAGGAGACAGCACAGCTCTTCGTTCGTCACATCATCTCACAGCATGGCATCCCAACCCCTCGACTGAGACCCCAAGTTCACCAGCAAGTTCTGGAAGGAACTTATGTCTCTTCTCGGGACCAAACTCGCCATGTCATCCGCATACCATCCGCAGACAGACGGACAGACCGAGCGCCTCAACCAAATTGTTGAGCAACTCCTCCGAGCAGCCTGCAAGGACGAGATCTCCAAATGGGACTTGCACCTGCCCGTACTAGAGTTTGCTTACAACAATACTACACATGCCGCTACTGGACAGACGCCGTTCTTCCTCTGCTACGGACGCCACCCACTCACACTACAGAAACCGACAACATCCGCTACGGTACAACCTGCACATGATTTCATCACAACCATGCATCAGCTTTGGGATCGGACCCATAAGCGCCTCCTCGACATTCAGCAGCAACAAAAGCGCCAAGCCGATCGCCATCGCAACGACCACACCATCACGGTGGGAGACCAGGTGCTTCTTGACACCCGCAACCTGGACATCGGCCATCTTCCATCTAAACTTCGACCTCGCTTCTGCGGGCCTTTTCTCGTTGAAGCACAGGTCACTCCTGTTACCTTCCGCTAACGCCTGCCAGCTACCTGGAAGATTCACAACGCCTTCCATGTCCAGCTTCTGAAGCCCTACCGGGATCCAAACACGATCTTCGTCGGACGCCAACCGCCGCCGCCGCCGCCCGTCCTCGTCCAGAATGAACCCGAGTACGAGGTTGAGTCCGTGCTAGCACACCGCCGACGTCGGAATGGCACAGTGAAGCTTCTCATCCGTTGGAAGGGTTATGATCCTTCTGAGGACAGCTGGGTCCCTGAGTACGACATGGGTAACGCCCGTCGTCCTCTGCATGACTACCTTGTCAAGCAGGGTGTTACTTCTACCACCCAGCTTTGAGGGGGGGAAGTGTGAGAGTACGACCCCGTTACACCACTTGTCCCTTTTTCCTATTTTCATTTCTCTTTTTATCTCATCTCATTTGGTTTCCTCTTCTCCATTTTCTATTCACCTTTGGTTTATCCTGCTATTATAGTTATATCACCGACCAGGCTTGGGATGTACTGGTGCGCTATATCTTGCGTAATCCTGCCGTAATCCCTTAAAGCCAATAGCTTCGCGTGGCTATACGCAGGGTGATTCTATCTTCTAGAAGGGTCTATTCCTTTAGGATAAGATAAACCTGGTTACCTGATGTTCTTTGGAAGTATAAAAACACCTTGTACTGATCGTTAGTGCAACCTTTCCTCGACACATTCGATCCTGTGACAGTGCGGTCATTAGTGTCTTCATGGGCACCACTCCTCCCGAACTCGTCAAAACCTACCACAACTACCCGTCTGCCAACGCCATTTGGCTCTACCTCGAAGATCGCTTCCTGAACAAGACTGCAGTGGGAGTTGCTATACTCATCCCCAGCATGTTCCAAGTGCGGCTCGAGGACTCGCCAGGCATGGCGGACTATGTCACCAAGGTGCAGTCTATTCATGGTGAACTCAAACAGTTGGGGATAGTCTTCCCCGAGCAAGCCCCTGCAGCCGCTCTCCTAGTCGGCCTCACTCCGGCATACGAAGTCACACGCAAGATGCTCTTGGGCCTTGCTCCTGCAGACCTCACATTTGCCAAGGTCTCATCCGCGCTCCTTTCTGCCGAAAAGGACAACAGCGCTCAAGCCAAGGCCAATGCAATCCGCGCTCCCGTGCCTCAAGCCTATGCCGCTTCGGCGCCATTCCAGCGCAACCGCATCCCCCCATGTCCCTACGTCATCAAGCGCGGCCCTCGTGCTGGCCAGGTGTGTGGCAGCACCAACCACGCCCTTGCCTCCTGCTTTAAGAAGAAGGATGACGAGTGGTATGCCGTCAATGGGACCGCCTCGAAGCCGCCAAGCTGGATGGTCAATCGTGCTCCTCGCCAAGTCAATCAAATCGAAGCGCAGGAATCCGTGCAGGCTGCTGTGGCTGCACCTGCTGATGTGCGCCTCAACATGTTGTTCCCTGGCACTGCCATGATTAATGAGACGATTTCGCAGTATCCTGGCTCACAAAGCACCTCGGCTACAATAGAGTTCACCCTCGACAGTGGGGCTACTCACACGGTTCTCAAGGAAGAACACTCCTTCAAGCCATACGAGACACCAATCCGTCTACTTGGAGCAGACTCCAGTTTCACAACACACGCCAAGGGCTCCTCCACAGTTCCGTGCCCAGCTTTTCCTTCGGGCAGTATGACTGGCATGTGTGTTCCCACTCTACGCCACAATCTCGTGGCCCAACACGAGCTCCAACGGGCAGGCGTCACCACGATCTTCCCAGCACACTTGGATTGTTGCTTAGAGAAGGCTATAAGCAGATGATTCAATGGCTCCTTGGAAATTTCTGCAGCACTTCGTTATGACGCCCAGAAAACTTGCGACCTTCGAAAAGCTATATCCAAAACTCCAATCGATGAAACAACCTGAAAATCGGATCTAATGTATCTTGCAGCATCAGCTTTCCACTGAAAGTTGAATCACTCGATTCCGTAGCTTATCGAGTGAGCTATGGCGTTTGGCGCACTGGGGGGTAATCTGCCCTAGGAGAAATTGACAGTCCTCAGAGTCACTATAATTGAAGCTTACAAGTTCAGAGGCATGATGGAAAAGGCATTGACGCATAGTTGGAAGGTGGGGTGGGAAGGGAAGGATGAAAGGGAAGGACCCTGGAGGCGCTTGGTCAAGAACATGACAAGAGTCAAAGTCTTGACTCCCCATCCTCAGGTTCAGCCAGCCTAGCAAGACACAATTCACACTGTGCCAGATTGGTCTCCAAACCCCAAGTGCTGCAGCTGTAAGGTGGGGACAAAAGTCCCACACATGCTGGTCCCTCCTCGTTTTAGGGCTCTCCAACTTTGGTGTAGCAGCTGCCAAGGACTTCCAATGTGTTGTAACAAATCCATCAAACATTTCTTCGTAACTTCTTCATATGTGCTCCGATTCCAACAATTCTTGGCTCGTTGGAATGCGCTCAATCTGATGTACAATCCAAGCACATCTGCACAAGCACAAGATGAACATGCAAAGACATGCAAACCCAACAAACCACACAAACAATGTAGCACACAAAACACATGCAACGAAATGATGCGAACAGACGACAGGATGACGTGCAAACCAATATGCACCAACACACTCCCCCTCAGACTCTCGGCTTGTTGCGCCATCTCTAGTTCAAGGACATTCCCGCCATTCTCGCACAGCGCCAGTGTGGCTCTTCAGCTAGCCGCTTGGTAAGGAAGTCGGCTGGCTGTTGCTGAGTTTTCACGTAGATCGGATCCAGTGTCCCAAGCTTCACCTCCTTCCGCAGCCAATGCCACTTGATCCTCATGTGCTTGTTCAACCCATGAAGAACTGCATTGCGTGCCATGGCAATGGCTCCCTTGCTGTCACTGAACAGAGGTGTCGCACAAGTCTGTTCATGGCCGATCTCCTTCAAGAGCCTCCTTAGCCAAATGATTTCTTTTGCTGCATGAAACATCGCCATGTACTCAGATTCCACTGACGATAGTGCCGTTTCAGACTGCTTCTTGGACCTCCAACTTACAGGCCCACCTCCCACCATGCAGATGTATCCACCAACTGATGATGAATCCTCATGCTCAGAAGCCCATGTGGCATTAGCAAAACAGGAAAGGAACACCTTTCCTTCTCCAAGCTGCTCCCCGTTCCCTTTGAGAACTTCAACTCTTTTCTGACTGAGTTGAGCAGAGGCTGAATACTGTACTCCCACTGTAGGGTATGACTTGAGGTAGCGCACCACTCTCTCCGCTGCACCACACTGCTCTTCTGTTGGATTTTGCACTACTCGAGCCAGCTGTCCCACAGCAAAGCTGATGTCAGGCCGAGTATGCACAGCAGCGTAGAGTAGGCTCCCGACCATGGATTGGAATTGCCTCTGGTCTTCACTTTCAACTCCTTCTCCTTCAGCTGCCTTTATGAGTTTGAACTCGGAAGGCAAAGGTGTAACCACTTCCCGTTCTTCCTGCAGAGAGTACTTCTCAGCCAAGGTGTTGATGTACTGTCCCTGATGCAGCTTGAGCCAGCCACGTTCAGTATCCCGCTCAATGTGCATTCCCAGGTAGTACCTTGCCTCTTCAAGTGACTTGCACTTGAACTGCTCTGTGAGCTTCTGCTGCACCCCATCGATCTCCTTGTCACTGCTGCTGAAGAGCAGGATGTCATCCACGTACACCAGCAGAAGCACAAGCGTCTCCCCCTTGCCCATCAGGAATAGGCTGTCGTCGCATGCACTCGCACGGAATCCAATCCCTTCCAGTGCACTGGCCAGCCTGTTGTACCAGCATCTCGGGGCCTGCTTCAAGCCATAGATGGCCTTGTTAAGTTTGCAGACACGACCGGTTCCATCCTCATAGCCAGGTGGTTGAACCATGTACACCTCCTCTTCCACAATGCCGTACAGAAAAGCGGTTACGATGTCCATCTGCTTTACCTTCCATTTGCGCACAACAGCTACCGCCAGCAGCACACGTAGCGTTGGAGACTTAGCAGTTGGGGCAAACACTTCTTTGTAATCTTCCTTCTCTTTCTGCTGAAACCCCTTTGCCACCAGCCTGCTCTTGTAAACTGATGGCTCTCCTTTCTCATCCGTCTTGATTTTTGCCAGCCACTTGCACTGTATTGCCTTCTTCCCATTTGGCAAGTACACCAGGTCCCATGTGTGATTCTCCATCTGGCTGTTGTACTCTGCATCTCTTGAAACGAGCCACTTCCCCCGTTGAGGCCCGGCTACCGCATAATCCATGCTCGGAGATTGTATTGGTGCGTAAAAGCAGTATGCAGGCTCCTCGTCATCTGACTCTTGGTCATCACCCAAGAACAGCACTGCATCTTCGCCTTGAGCCTGTTCCTGCTGCTCAGTTGTGGCTCCTCCACTTGTAGAGCTCAGCAGCTTTCTCGTTGCCATTCTGGTACGCGCAGGGTAGATGGTTGGATTTACCCATTCTTTTACCTTCACCCAATCCTTTGTCCCCCCACCAATCTGTTTCCTTCGCTTTGGCAGACTTGGTGTTTTGGAAGCCTCTTGCTGCTGCTGCTCCGGATCCTTGACTTCAGCATCAGCTGCAATATCCTCATTGCTTCCTTCATCAGTACCGCTTGTCGTTGGCGCAGTGACTTCGCTGTCCTCAGGTTCGGACAAATCGAAGTGCATAGTGATCTCTTCCAGCTGCTGGGTGACCCTTGCCTCCGGCTGCTTCTCCCACTTGCCATACATGATGTTCTCCACAAATTTGACATCCCGACTGTCAAACAGCACATTCTTCGAGGGCTCCCAGAGTAGCCACCCCTTGCTCTCTGCCGCAAGCCCAAGGTGCACACACCACAGTGCAGATCCTCCAAGCTTTGTCCTATACGGTTTAGGGACATGCGCCACTGCCATGCATCCGAACACTCTAAGCATGTCCACAGGAGGCTTCTTTCCAAGCCACCTCTCCAGCGGCACCCACATATCATCAGCTACCTTTGTGAGTACGCGGTTCCTTGCCACTGTAGCATGCCTCACCGCATGAGGCCACATGGAGTTTCCCAGCCCTGATTCGATCAGCAGCGCTCGCGCAGTTTCCAGGATGGTCCTATTAGCCCTCTCAGCAACGCCATTTGACTGAGGGGTATAGGACGTCGTTAGCTGATGCTCAATGCCTTGTTTCTTGAGCCACGCAGTCAGATCTCCTCCTAGAAACTCTCCACCTCGGTCGGTTCTGATGCTCTTGCACGGGTGCCCAGATTGTCGCTCGACGAACGGCAGCCAGTCATCTCGTATTGTTGAGGCAGCATGATCCTTCTGCTTCAACGGGTATGCCCACATCAGCCGACTCCAGTCATCAACTATTGTCAGGAAGTACCTTTCCCCCTTACTTCCTCGAACTGGAAAAGGTCCTACCAGGTCCATGTGCACCAGTTCCAGTGCTGCCTTGCTTTTCCCAGCTATGCCGTGAAAGGGGAACCGTGTGAACTTGCTCTGCAGACACGTCTCGCACTTGGTATCATTTGGTTGCCCAGAAAGCTTCAGCCCCTTTACTGCTTCTTCCTTATGCAGTTGCTGCAGCAATGGCATAGCCACATGCCCTAGACGCCTGTGTGCGGTTTCCCAATCAGTCTCCCCCGACCTTGCAGAAACCGTCACTCCTGCAGCACTAACTGCATTGCACTCCCCCTGGACTCCAGATCCCGCCTTTACTGCTCCCAACTCCTTCTTTGTTGATTCCCATATCAGTGCAGGGATGTGCCACATGGATCTGAAGACATCTCTGCTTTCGTGTAAATCCCATAACACACGATCTCCTCGCAGCCCCTTGAATGTTTTGGATCCATTGGTGGTGGTGCTGACTCCGGCCTGGCCTAGCTTGCGCAGCGATATCAGATTGGCCTTCAGCCCCGGTACGAGTAACACGTCCTTCAGCACAACCAGTCCACCATCAGGTGCTCTGAATGCAGCTCGACCAACTCCAGCGACCTTCACTGCATGTCCGGATGCTGAGCGCACTTCAGAGATTGGAGGCGCTCGCACAGCATCCAGCAAGTCCTTGCGTGGTGTCATTGTCCATGCAGCACCAGAGTCCATGACCCACATGTCAAGCGGGTGCAGTTCCTCTCCAGCCCTTGCAACAGCTGTGCCACTGTCATCTTTGTCACACACATGGTAGAACTGTCCAGCATTCCTCTCCTCATTTCCCATTCCTCTGTCATCCTTGGAGGTTTCTTCAGCAGGATCAGCTACCATGTTGGCACCTCCATGTGGTTGCTTTCCTCCATTCCCCTTTTGCGATTGGTTCCAAGGGGTCCACCAGTCGGGCTTGGTAGAGCAGCGAAACCATGGATGCCCTTCTTCCTTGCAATACCAGCACTCTCCTCTCAAGCGTGGTTCACTGTTGTCATTGTTGGAGTGACCACCTCTTCCTCTTGCACCAGCGCCACCACGCCCCCGCTGGTTCCAAGTCCCGCGACCACCTTGGTTGTAGTAGGAGCGACCGTGATTGCCACGCCCTCGATCCCTCCATGTCCCTTGCATGGCATAGCCGCTGGTGCTGTCATCACCTCCGCGCAGTGTATAGCGACGAAAATCTTCTTCCAGAATCTTGGTGCGAATCCACTCCAATGTCCATTGACTTTGGTTTTGTGGCAAGCTGAGTCCGCTTATAAATTGCAGCCAAGACTCGGGCAGCAGGCTGAGCATCTTGAGACACTTAGTCTGCTCAGGGTACGTGATGCCTGCAATCGCCAATTTCGCGTAGAGTTCCCTCATCTTGTCCAGTACGGGCTGCACAGGTTCATTCTCGCTCAACCGCAGCATGGACAGCTCCCGATCCAGCATGAGAGAAGCGGCAACCGATGTCGGAGCGTGCAGGTCCTTGAGCACTGCCCATGCCTTGGGCCCACAATCAATTTCCGGTAGCAGATGCATGATGTGATGCCTCTGGTTCAGCTCCAAGCTTTGTGACAGTAGATAATACCCAGCAGATGAACGTTCATCCCAGTCCGCTTGCTCTGCCATTTCCTTTGGCCTTGGCTCCGTTCCAATCATGAGCTTCAAGAGGCCAATTTGTCAAAAGTAGAGCTGCATCTTCCATGCCCAATCGTCATAGCCATCTCCAGAGAACTTCTCAATGGTGAAGCTCTTCAGCACCTCCTTAAGCAGTGACCCCTGGCTTGTATGCGCTCCCCTTTGCGCTGCAATGCCAGAATCTTGGGTTGAGCTGCCTCCTTGGACTGAAGTATCACCTCCACCAGAGTCCTCCTTATCTCCCATCGTATTTTAGGTCCCAAATGTGTGACAATGGGCTCTGATACCACTTGTTGCTTAGAGAAGGCTATAAGCAGATGATTCAATGGCTCCTTGGAAATTTCTGCAGCACTTCGTTATGTCGCCCAGAAAACTCGCGACCTTCGAAAAGCTATATCCAAAACTCCAATCGGTGAAACAATCTGAAAATCGGATCTAATATATCTTGCAGCGTCAGCTTTCTTCTGAAAGTTGAATCACTCGATTCCGTAGCTTAACGAGCGAGCTATGGCGTTTGGCACACTGGAGGGTAATCTGCCCTAGGAGAAGTTGACAATCCTCAGAGTCACAATAATTGAAGCTTACAAGTTCAGAGGCATGATAGAAAAGGCATTGACGCACAGTTGGAAGGTAGGGATGGAAGGGAAGGATGAAAGGGAAGGACCCTGGAGGCCCATGGTCAAGAACATGACAAGAGTCAAAGTCTTGACTCCCCATCCTCAGGTTCAGCCAGCCTGGCAAGACAAAATTCACACTGTACCAGGTTGGCCTCCAAACCCCAAATGCTGCAGCTGCAGGGTGGGGACAAAAGACCCACACATGCTGGTCCCTCCTCGTTATAGGGCTCTCCAACTTTGGTGTAGCAGCTGACAAGGACTTCCAATGAGTTGTAACAAATCCATCAAACATTTCTTCGTAACTTCTTCATATGTGCTCCGATTCCAACAATTCTTGGCTCGTTGGAATGTGCTCGATATCATGCACAAACCAAGCACATCTGCACAAGCACAAGACGAACATGCAAAGACATGCAAACCCAACAAACCATACAAACAATGTAGCACACAAAACACATGCAACGAAATGATGCGAACAGACGACAGGATGACGTGCAAACGAATATGCACCAACATTCTTTTGGAGTCCCTCCCGAAATTTCTCCAAGGCTCTAGCCCCTCGAACATCATAAGTTTTCATTAAAGCATCTTTGTGAGATAACTTTAACGAATTCGTATAATTTCTTGGGTCTTTAAGGAGTTTCCCTGTCTCGGCTATGTCGCCCACAAAACTCGCGACCTTCGAAAAGCTATATCCAAAACTCCAATCGATAAAACGATCTGAAAATCGGATCGAATATATCTTGCAGTGTCAGCTTTCCTCTGAAAGTTGAATCACTCGATTCCGTAGCTTATCGAGTGAGCTATGGCGTTTGGCGCACTGGGGGGTAATCTGCCCTAGGAGAAATTGACAGTCCTCAGAGTCACTATAATTGAAGCTTACAAGTTCAGAGGCATGATGGAAAAGGCATTGAAGTATAGTTGGAAGGTGGGGTGGGAAGGGAAGGATGAAAGGGAAGGACCCTGGAGGCCCTTGGTCAAGAAGATGACAAGAGTCAAAGTCTTGACTCCCCATCCTCAGGTTCAGCCAGCCTGGCAAGACACAATTCACACTGTGCCAGGTTGGTCTCCAAACCCCAAGTGCTGCAGCTGTAAGGTGGGGACAAAAGTCCCACACATGCTGGTCCCTCCTCGTTTTAGGGCTCTCCAACTTTGGTGTAGCAGCTGCCAAGGACTTCCAATGTGTTGTAACAAATCCATCAAACATTTCTTCGTAACTTCTTCATATGTGCTCCGATTCCAACAATTCTTGGCTCGTTGGAATGCGCTCAATCTGATGTACAATCCAAGCACATCTGCACAAGCACAAGATGAACATGCAAAGACATGCAAACCCAACAAACCACACAAACAATGTAGCACACAAAACACATGCAACGAAATGATGCGAACAGGCGACAGGATGACGTGCAAACCAATATGCACCAACACGGATCACTGTGACCTCTTCGACCCTAAGTCGAACAAGCTCCTAGCACGCTTCACACTCAACAGTAGCAAGCTCTACACGCTGCGTTCACCTGCACCTCTCGCCGCCCTCTCCCAAGCGCAAGCTGCCAGCACCACTCCGTGTTCGTGTCGCAGCTTTGCCGACCCAACCATTCTCTACCACCATCGCTTGGGTCACCCCAACTTCCCTACACTTGCCGACATCGCTTCCAAGAAACTGTAAGAAATAGAGTTTAAATGATTGATTAGGTAAGGAGCCCAAGGCTCTATTCGTACATGGCAAGGTGAGAGAAATAAATGAAGGGGGGAATCAGAGGGAATCCCTATTGAGATCTCCGGAATCTCCAATTGGGTAATTGGAGATTGGGGGGATCACAATTGGGAGAGGTTGGGATTTGTGAGTACACCTCAACCCACCAGAACATTATAACCTAAACTAGGATATTAAAGTACAAATACAAAAGTGGTATTTGCAGTCTATTTCTAACACACCCCCATAGAGACTGCAAACCTGATCAAGGAGCACATAGCCCCATGGAACGGAGAAGGCGATGGTGGTCAGCCTTGCCGAGAGCCTTGGTAAAGAGGTCGGCGAGGTTGCAATCTGAGGCGATGTACCGTACCGTCAGTTGGTCACTCTGAACAAGATCTCGGATGAAGAAATTACGAAGTTCGATGTGCTTGGTGCGAGAGTAGAACACAGGATTTTTTGTGAGGTGAATGGCACTCTGGTTGTCACACCACAGGGTGGGCGACTACTGGGGGTAGCCTAACTCAGCGAGGAGAAAGCAGAGCCAGCGTGCCTCTTGAGCAGCCATTGTGCCCACGTAGAGCTCGGCCTCACAGTACGACAGGGAGACTGCAGAGGACCGAGTGGAGCGCCAGCTGATGACTCCGCTACCAAGGGTGAAGCAGTACCCTTGGGAGGAGTGTCTGTCAGTCTGGTCATCGGCCCATGAGGAGTCTGTGTATCCTTCGAGCTTGAATGGAGAGGTACCACCAAGAGGAGTGGTGAAGGAGGAGTGGTGCCCATGAAGACACTAATGACATCACCATCCCGAGGCGGTCATCGGTACTATCTTACACTAGTCGATGACCATTCGCGGTATGTTTCTGTGCACCTCCTGCATACCAAGGTGGAGGCACCTGATGTCATCATAGCGTAGGTGCGCCAGGCTCAAGTCACGTTCGGCACTCCTCTGAAGTGCCTCCATTCTGATGGCGGGGGAGAATTTCGCAATGGCAAACTCGATAACTTCTGTGCGGCCCAAGGGATTCGGCAAACCTTCACGCTCCCCGAAAGCCCGCAGCAGAACGGCATTGCAGAGAGCCGCAACCACACCTTGGTTCAGATCGCTCGCTGCCTCCTCAGTCATGCCAACGCACCACGGTCACTCTGGGGATATGTTCTCTTCCATGCGGCACTCCTCTACAATCTTTATCCGCATCCCCACTGGCCCGACACCACACCTACCGCTCTTTGGCTTGGGGTCACGCCTTCTGCCCGCTCTCTACGTGTCTGGGGGTGTACCGCGTATGTGTTGGTAAGCCCCTACATGCGCAGGAAGCAAGGTGGCAAGCTTGGTCCCAAAACCCAGACCTGCATGTACCTGGGACACAACTCCGACTCCCCAGACTACTTATTTCTCAACCCAATCACCAGACAGCTGATTCGCAGCCGTGATGTCGTCTTCGATGAGACACGCCCATTCCACTCTGCGACCACGGGCGAGCCTCCTCCACCTCCCCCGACGCTTGTTTGGGCAGACTTTGATGCCCCAGCTCCGGCCACTACCCCTTCTCCGGGGCCTTCTCCGTCCGGCGTGTCTCACCCGGCCTCCCCAGTATCCTCCGCAGCGGCACCTCCTCCTGCTCCGCCTTCCCCGCGCGTCGAGCCCGGCTCACCAGTCTCCTATCGGAGGCGCCCAGTCCCTCCGGTCCCACCGCAGCCGCCTTCGTCTCCGGTCTCTAGTCGCACTCGTTCCAAGGGACCGGCTCCGCCTCTCGCCTGGGGACCAGCCGCCTTCTCCATCCGCTGTTTGGTCACCCCGCCTCCTCCTGCCGGGGGTGATGTCCCCTCCATCCGTATTCCCCCCCGTGCACTTCTGGAGGACAGGCATGAGGAGCTGTTTGACCTTTACGCGGTCTGCCAATTTCTCTCTAACATCTTCCCGGACATTACTGACTGCCCTTCCCTCAACTTCACCGAGAACCCGACAATTCCGACTCCTTGCACAAAAGAGGAAGCTCTCTCGGGGCCTTATAAGAAGGAGTGGAAGGCAGCAATGGATGTGGAGAACGAGGCGTTCATTCGCAACAACAGCTTTGACGATGTTGTTCCCCCTTCCGGTGTCAACATCGTTGGCGGAAAATGGATCTTCCGAGACAAACAACTCCTAGGCGAAGCTCCACTGTTCAAGGCACGATACGTGGCGAAGGGTTTCACCCAGAAGGAGTATCTCGACTTCTTCGAAACCTTCTCGCCCACGGCCAAGCTCCCGACTGTGCGCGCTCTTCTTGATATAGACGCTCGCGGCAACTTCGAGATCAAGTCCATGGACGCCTCCTCCGCCTTTCTCCAAGGCCAGCTCAAGGAGGATGTTCACATGGAACGCCCACCGGGGTTTCCTGGCACTTACCCTGCCAACACAGTGTGGAAGCTGAAGCGCCCAGTGTATGGCCTCAAGCAGGCTCCTCGTGAGTGGCACAACAAGGTGAAGGAAATCCTCCTCACACTTGACTTCCATCCCTCTGCCTCAGATTCCAGTCTCTTTGCTCGTCACTCCTCCGAGCCCTTCTACATCCTCGTCTACGTCGACGACTTCATTCTAGCCGCCAGAGATCCAGCCGACATGGCAGCTGTCCAGTCTGCTCTCAGTTCCGCCCTTCTCATGAAGGATCTTGGTGACCTCAAGAACTACCTGGGGATGGAGATCACTCGTGACCGCCAGGCTTGCACGATCACCCTGTCCCAGGAGTCCTACATCGACAACCTTCTCAAGCGGTTCGACATGGACTCCAGTAACTCTGTCTCCACTCCACTCCACTCCCACTACAGCATCAGCTCACGGCCCCTCCAGTCCCTTCTCCTGACGCCTGCAAGGACCCGTACCCTGAGCTAGTCGGTTCACTCATGTATGCCATGATGTGCACTCGACCAGACTTGGCTTACCCGGTCAGTGTCCTCTCTCGATACGTCTCCCCCGGACGCTACACTGCCTCGCATTGGTCTGCAGCCAAGAGGGTCCTCCGCTATCTACAAGCCACCAAGTCTCACATCCTCACTCTTGGTGGTACCTCTCCAGTCAAGCTCGAGGGATACACAGACTCCTCATGGGCCGATGACCAGACTGACAGACGCTCCTCCCAAGGGTACTGCTTCACCCTTGGTAGCGGAGTCATCAGCTGGCGCTCCACTCGGTCCTCTGCAGTCTCCCTGTCGTCCTGCGAGGCTGAGCTCTACGCGGGCACAATGGCTGCTCAAGAGGCACGCTGGCTCTCCTATCTCCTCGCTGAGTTAGGCTACCCCCAGCAGTCGCCCACCCTGTGGTGTGACAACCAGAGTGCCATTCACCTCACCAAGGATCCTGTGTTCCACTCTCGCACCAAGCACATCGAACTTCGTCATTTCTTCATCCGAGATCTTGTTCTGAGTGGCCAGCTGACGGTACGGTACATCGCCTCAGATTGCAACCTCGCCGACCTCTTTACTAAGGCTCTCGGCAAGGCTGACCACCATCGACTTCTCCATTCCATGGGGCTATGTGCTCCTTGACCGGGTTTGCAGTCTATGCGGGTGTGTTACAAATAGACTGCAAATACCACTTTTGTATTTGTACTTTTATATCCTAGTTTAGGTTATGAATGTTCTAGTGGGTTGGGGTGTACTCACAAATCCCAACCTCACCCAATTGTGATCCCCCCAATCTCCAATTACCCAATTGGAGATTCCGGAAATCCCAATGGGGATTCCCTCCAATTCCCCCTTCATCCATTCACTCTCACCTTGCCATGTACTTATAGAGCCTTGGGCTCCTTACCTAATCAATCATTTCAACTCTATTTCTTACAGACGGTGCGGTCATTAGTGTCTTAATGGGCACCACTCCTCCCGAATTCGTCGAAACCTACCACAACTACCCGTCTGCCAACGCCATTTGGCTCTACCTCGAAGACCTCTTCCTGAACAAGGCTGCAGTGGGAGTTGCTATACTCATCCCCAGCATGTTCCAAGTGCGGCTCGAGGACTCACCAGGCATGGCGGACTATGTCACCAAGGTGCAGTCCATTTATGGTGAACTCAAACAGTTGAGGATACTCTTCCCCGAGCAAGCCCCTGCAGCCGCTCTCCTAGTCGGCCTCACTCTGGCATACAAAGTTACACGCAAGATGCTCTTGGGCGTTGCTCCTGCGGACCTCACATTTGCCAAGGTCTCATCCGCGCTCCTTTCTGCCGAAAAGGACAACAGCGCTCAAGCCAAGGCCAATGCAATCCGCACTCCCGTGCCTCAAGCCTATGCCGCTTCGGCACCATTCCAGCGCAACCGCTTCCCCCCGAGTCCTTACGTCATCAAGCGCGGCCCTCGTGCCGGCCAGGTGTGTGGCGGCACCAACCACGCCCTTGCCTCCTTCTTTAAGAAGAAGGATGACGAGTGGTATGCCGTCAATGGGACCGCCTCAAAGCTGCCAAGCTGGATGGTCAATCGTGCTCCTCGCCAAGTCAATCAAGTCGAAGCGCAGGAATCCGTGCAGGCTGCTGTGGCTGCACCTGCTGATGTGCGCCTCAACATGTTGTTCCCTGGCCATGAT